GCAACTAACCAACATTGTCTCTAGTACAAACTTGAGTCTTGTGTAAAACCTGTTCAAGTTAGTAAAACGTGTTTGCATGGCATCCCGATAGCTGTGGTGTGCCTCCAGGCTGGTTGCCTCAGACTTCAGCACCTTATTTTGCATACTGTGGTTATTATTCAAGCTGTATGATGACAACGATGACAAGGCAGAGGAAGAACACAAGCAGGAATAATATTTAACCCTTTGAGTCCCAAGGAAAGTATCATAGGTTCCTAACTAGAAGCCCAATGAACGCAAGATGCGCTGATTTTATGTCTCTTTCTAATTGGTCCTCTGATGCTAAACCCCCTGGGACTTAAAGAGTTAATAAGGAGAATATTTAAAAAAAAAAAAGAGGAGAGAGAGGAGAAGGGAGAATACAGCAGGAATAAAAACAAGAAAGAACAGAGAAAAGAAGAAAAAGATGAGGAGGTGGAGAAGAGCAGTGGGAATGATAATAATAATAAGTATAATAGGGAAGTAAGAAAAAAGAGAAGGGGGACAACAGCAACAACAGAAGTGGAAAAAAGTTGGAGGAGAAAAAAAAACAACCAGAAATAAGCCATTGTGGTGCCAGGGGTTTTTCTTTATTGCAAAATAACAGTGGTCCCAGACACATAAACAGAATACCAGTTTTATTATACCCTGCTCTATAAATATACAGATAAAAAGTAAGTTTTATAAAGCACACCAAAGTGGTGCCACATAATTATAAATTATATATATATATACACATATAAAACACACATTTTCCACTTATAAATGCACTATAAATAGTGCAATACACTGTATAAATGCAACATAAAATAAGGAAATACATTTTACATATGCAGTAAAAATAGTGACACAGTAAATGTACAAGACAGTAGTCCCAATTTGTATAAATGCAAATCAAAGATTGGTCCCAGGTTTCTAAATATAACACAGTTGCAAAAGATCCACAATGCTTTGATTAAGTACCTGGATGAAGAGAAGAAAAATACAAAGACGATAGCAGCAGCAAAGAAGAAGGAGGAGGAGGAGGTGGGGGAGGAAGAGGACGACGACGAGAAGAAGAAGAAACAAAACGAAGACACATAAACAAAATGTCACATAGAGATTCTTCTTCCTTTCCTGCATGTTATTCTCACTGGATTCCCCGTGTGGGTTCCGGGACCCCATTGAGGAGAAAACAAGAATAGACCCAATGCCTCCCCAGCAAGCATGTCATGAACGTTGACAAACTGGGAGCTTCGTTTGAAGTCAGAGTACATCTGCCTGAGAGGCAAGGAACCTGCATGCAAATGAATCAGACCTGTCACTCAACGTCCCGTAAAGTTTGGCTTTAACCAATGTTTCTCTTGGCTAGAAGTTTTGCCTGGAAATGCTGTGAGTCTTGGGGGAGTCTTGTAATCTGTTGTCTCAGGTACCAGTCCACAGGTACACATGGCTGATTCACCAATGTTAAATTCTGAAGGATGGGAATAGTGAGAAGTTCTACACTGGAATGGAATGGCTGCTGTATTGTTGGCTATTGCACTGTAAGACTGACCACACTTGATATGGTCTAATGTGCAATGACATCAATTGTGATATCATAACATAATATTTAGTAACACTTTAAGCATAATAAATACAATCTAAACAAAGCTGAAATTAATGTTCTATATAACAAACCCTGTTTGGAAGTAATTTTAAAATATTAAATTAAAAAAAAAAAATAAAGGTATAAAAACTGAGTCATCTGAGAAGTGAGAGCTTGAGTATATGGCAAATCAGTTTTATGAATGAAACCCCGCTGCAGCAGTATCTCATGCTCTGGAATGATCATGAACGGCAGTGATTATATGGATCATACGAAACAATAAATAAAATGCACACAACACAGCCACAAATTAAAAAATGTGATTATTGTGAATTATATTTAACATTAGATGATAGTATACAGAAACACCAAACTTCTGTGTTTGAAATAAACAGGTGGCTGATATCCTGTATTGTGGTTGTAATGATGCTATAAATAGGGATAACGTCAGGGGATGACTGGCATAATTGGGTAAGTCCCTGAGAGCATGGGTTTCACGGAGATATGGTGAAACGACAAGAGAGAGTGAGTCACGTGTGAATGGGAGATCTGGGGGATTGAGAATCAGGTGGTCATTCGGTGACTGGGCTCCAGACTAGAAGGATGTGAAACTGAATCTGTGAAGATGAATCGAGAATGAAGAGAGCACCTGGATCTGAATCAGAGTCGAATGAATGATCGTGAAGGCCAGCTGTTGTGTTACACTGTTTGATTGTTGAGCCAGCTGTGAATATGCCAGTGTCCATCGTTTGAAGCATGTCTTGAGCTTTAATGCGTGAGCAAGTCGAGACTGTCCGAATGGTGTAAGTTGATTCTACTGTGATTGGTGTCTTGTGCTACAGTGATAATAAACTCGTGAAATGTGTCAGCTGGTGTCAACTGTTGTTTGAAGTCGTGTGACCGTGGAGAGAAATGCCGTCTGGTTAGATTGAGCTGTGACCTAACCTCTAGACAACAGAGTCAGTGTTAAATCTGCACTAGAGAGATCAAGTGTGGAGGAGACACAAGTGCATTCATTACAGTGGTTTACAGTAAAGCTGCAATAACCTTAACAACAATACTGACTAGGTTACATGACAGTGGTATGGCCCGGGTCAGGCACTCCGAGAAGTGAACCCAATATCAACTGCAGCCGGTGAGTAACTTTGCTGCACATCAGTCAAGATTCAGGGCACCACATCAGTCAAGATTCAGGGCACCACATCAGTCAAGATTCAGGGCACCACATCAGTCAAGATTCAGGGCACCACATCATCCACGATGTGCTACAGCAGCACCAAGTGTCAGCAAGGGTGGGTGCCATGACAGCTTACGCTGCAGCGGGGCTATCAACTAAGTTTACTCAAGGGCCTACATTTTGAAAATGGGAGATTTCACAGGCCTGAGCCCAGCATGTAAAGATTATTAATACAAAAGAACTGGCAATTCTGATTGTTCATCGACTTTTGGACTGTTTTTGATCCTGAGTTCTGTGTGCACATCCATTTCACAGATATGGCTTATTAGTATGCAAACTGTTGGTTCCTTGCCTCTTATGCAGGTGCACTATACATTTCTAATTAGTCTTCTCCTACAAAATACTAGTTAATGAACAACGGGTCTATACTTTTTGTTCCCCATAATGTGGCCCCGGAACCCGTGGGCCCCCAGCTGAATCGCCCCCTGCTCTACGGGCGCCTGACATGGTCATCTACAGTCTGTCACCAAAGTCCTGCCATCTTAAAACATTCTATTGCACACATACACACCTGCGGCACAGACAGGCATGCATTAACAAACTGGACCTTCATTTGCCGATGAATTTCTTTCTACCGGTTCTCTGGAATTTCAAAGAGGTCTGAATCCAGACCTCCCCGTGTGGGTTTTGGGACCTTTTGTGGGGAAAACAAGAATAGACCCACTGCCTTCCCAGCAAACATGTCGTAAGAGTCGACTAACTGGGGACTTCCTTCGAAGTCGTAGTGCATCTGCCTGAGCAACAGGAACAACCAACTGCACACAAATAAGCCAGTGAAATGAATGTACATGCAAAACTCAGGCCCTGGCACAAAGCCCAAATGGACCAACAACTAGGACTTTCCGCCAGAGCTTACAGCCAGCGAACACAGGAGAAGAAGAAGCAGAAGAACCCAGACCAATGTACTGGTATGTGCAATGCCCCTGCTATTTCTCACCCTATGCTCCAGATGATAATAAATGATATTGATGAATCAATAAATAAAATACCATCACGCAACAAACACTGAGGGAAAAAAACACATTTTCAGGAATTACTGTCAACATTAGAGGCCCAGATAAAGCAACATGCAAAATATTCCATGGCATTAACACACCAAATGACATTTATTTACACACAGAACAAGTTATAATAAAAAAATACTATCGTTGGATTTCACGATGAACGCATCAGTAGTTACAAGTCCTCCATTGCTCTCTGTTCTCATCAACACACATACACACTAAACTTTAAAATATATACTTACTTACTCAGTTGCTCCTCTTATACATTGGGGTGTAAAGGTTTGCCAGAGAGATCACCAGATGTCTCCATCAGCAGTTTTCTTTCTGGCTTTGTTCCATTCCAGTCCTCTGACAGTTAGGGACTGGCGGATGTTGTCTTCCCAGCGGACCCTGGGTCGTGCTGGAGGTCTGGTTCCCTGGTTCTTAGCCTCCCATGCCTGCCATGATGGCCGATTTTCTCCCATTCTGCATACATGTCCAAACCAACGTAAATGTGACTGATCCACTCGGGTTTGTAAGGACTTGGTATCAAGATCTTGATGTATTGTCTGATTGCGGACTTTGTCCCTTCTTGTCACTTGGACCACCTTTCTCTGATATCTCATTTCCAAGGCCTGCAGCTGGCTTCTGTGAGCTGTTGTCATTGCCCATGACTCACACCCATAGGTCAGGACTGACACATAAGTAGAGTGGTAAACAGCCATTTTCGTCCTCTTGCCAATTTCTCTTTTGCTAAGAAACCCTCGGTTTATGGCCTGGAAGAGTCTCCCAGCAGTTGCTTTGTTTGTAGCCAGCTCAGTCTCAATGTCTCTGTTTTGGTCGAATACAACTCCAAGGTATTTGAATTGGTTGACCTGCTCCAATGCACACTGTCCCATCAAGATCTGGTGTTTCTTTCCCCTTCTCGAGACCACCATAGTTTTAGTTTTGGACTTTTAAATATATGGATGATGTAAATACATTGCCGTTTGATTTTTAGTAACATAAATAATACAGAATATGTCTGCAAAATCACACAAATTAGCATACATAATCCTCTTAAAGGTTCTATTAAAATAAAATTGCATTTGTGAACACAGAAAATATAGGAATTGTTGACGCTCCTGTAGAATCGAGGCCCTTAGTTGCAGCTTAGTTAGCTTATGCCTAAATGCAGCACTGTCCCTAGGTTTTACTATAACGTACGAGTCTGCCTTGAGGGTGGAGAGGTGTACATATTTGTGACAGATGGTGGAGTTGGGTTGTAAGTGGCTGGGGCCCCACCCACATGTGGCAGCTGTGGAGCTGGCATGTGGCTGCCTGTCACTGCTGCATCTGCTGATGAAGGGAAGCTGTTGATCTGGGCTGCTGTTTGACTGAGGACACAAATGATGAAATTATAAAAAGATGTCAGTTCACTGAGTACTAGTGAGGATATTAACAGGGTGTTCTGTGACAACTAGTGGAGTACTGCGTGTCTTCTCCTCCTACATTAACAGGGTGTTCTGTGACAACTAGTGACGTACTGCGTGTCTCCTCCTCCTACATTTCCAGGGTGTTCTGTGACAACTAGTGAAGTACTGTATGTCTCCTCCTCCTACATTAACAGGGTGTTCTGTGACAACTAGTGGAGTACTGCGTGTCTTCTCCTCCTACATTTCCAGGGTGTTCTGTGACAACTAGTGAAGTACTGCGTGTCTCATCCTCCTACATTTCCAGGGTGTTCTGTGACAACTAGTGAAGTACTGCGTGTCTCCTCCTCCTACATTTCCAGGGTGTTCTGTGACAACTAGTGACGTACTGCGTGTCTCCTCCTCCTACATTTCCAGGGTGTTCTGTGACAACTAGTGACGTACTGCGTGTCTCCTCCTCCTACATTTCCAGGGTGTTCTGTGACAACTAGTGACGTACTGCGTGTCTTCTCCTCCTACATTAACAGGGTGTTCTGTGACAACTAGTGACGTACTGCGTGTCTCCTCCTCCTACATTTCCAGGGTGTTCTGTGACAACTAGTGACGTACTGCGTGTCTCCTCCTCCTACATTAACAGGGTGTTCTGTGACAACTAGTGAAGTACTGCGTGTCTCCTCCTCCTACATTAACAGGGTGTTCTGTGACAACTAGTGAAGTACTGCGTGTCTCCTCCTCCTACATTAACAGGGTGTTCTGTGACAACTAGTGACGTACTGCGTGTCTCCTCCTCCTACATTAACAGGATGTTCTGTGACAACTAGTGACGTACTGCGTGTCTCCTCCTCCTACATTAACAGGATGTTCTGTGACAACTAGTGACGTACTGCGTGTCTCCTCCTCCTACATTAACAGGATGTTCTGTGACAACTAGTGACGTACTGCGTGTCTCCTCCTCCTACATTTCCAGGGTGTTCTGTGACAACTAGTGACGTACTGCGTGTCTCCTCCTCCTACATTTCCAGGGTGTTCTGTGACAACTAGTGACGTACTGCGTGTCTTCTCCTCCTACATTAACAGGGTGTTCTGTGACAACTAGTGACGTACTGCGTGTCTCCTCCTCCTACATTTCCAGGGTGTTCTGTGACAACTAGTGACGTACTGCGTGTCTCCTCCTCCTACATTAACAGGGTGTTCTGTGACAACTAGTGAAGTACTGCGTGTCTCCTCCTCCTACATTAACAGGGTGTTCTGTGACAACTAGTGACGTACTGCGTGTCTCCTCCTCCTACATTAACAGGATGTTCTGTGACAACTAGTGACGTACTGCGTGTCTCCTCCTCCTACATTAACAGGGTGTTCTGTGACAACTAGTGACGTACTGCGTGTCTCCTCCTCCTCTATTTTTGTTTCCTCATCCCCCCCCTCTTCCAGCACTCTTCAATAGGTATTCCCAGCCTGGGTTCTGGGGCCCCATTGTAAGGGGGAAGAAAAATGAATAGACCCAATGACAACCAAAAGCATGTCATAGGAGTGGGCTAAATGAGAGCTTCCTTTAAAGTCGGAGTACATCTGCCTTAGAGGCAACAAACCAAAAAGTCTGCATACAAATAAATCATTTGTAAAACAGATGTGCATGCAACACTCAGATTCAGGAACAGGACTAGAGTCCAGAAGTGAACGAACAACCAGAACTTTCCGCTGAAGTTTAGAGCCCATGAATGCAAAGAAAAAGAATAAAATGTATTGTTTTCTATATAAACTGCACTCATTAACAATTTATACCAATACAATGGTAACACAGCCAGATGTCAACCATGCAGAAGATGGGACAAAGAAATATCAGAGACACTGAAAAAAAAAGTACTTTATATGAAGAGAAACAGAAGGACCCACTGCCTCCCTGACAAGCATGTCATACGAGTCAACTAATTGGGAGCTTCCCTCGAGGTCAGAGTGCATTTGTCTGAAAGGCAAGGAACCAAAAGTCTGCATTCGAATAAGCCAGATCTGTAAAACAGATTTTACAACAAAAACTGAGTCCATAAGTGGACAAACAACCAGAACTTTCTGCCAGAGTTTGTAGCCGCAAACTGCCAAACAGAAAAGGAAAGATCACATCACCCCTGCACTTTCCTACCAAGTTGTCATTCTTTTGTTCGACAATCAAAATCATGCGAAAAAACACATATCTGACCTAAATAAACACCAATAGTAAGTTGCCTGTCTATTAACTCGGATCAACGTACCCAGGAAATGATTGCTGATTGGATGGTGCCATGTGCAGATAACTCTGTGAATTGTTCAGATGACTTGAAGCCGGATGACCAGCTGCAATTCCTGCTTCTCCAGAAACCATGTGTGGATAGCTACTGTAACCCTAAAAAAGACATTGTACGATTAATTGGTATTAAGATATATAAATAGATAAATAATGGAAACAATCACGGAAATTTTGTTCTGGCAGTATGTACCTCATTTTTTTAAGGCAATTTTTCAGGGCTACTTTAAAGGCCACTATGTGATTAATACTGGCACTGTTTTGCCTAGAAAAAGGGCTCTGGTAAAAGATATTAATAATAAGAATAACAATAACAATAAGATGGTGATGAATTTAGAAGGTGAGAGTATCAAGTTCATGACCCCTGGTTGATCTCATCTGGTGAAGCAGATAAACTTGTTGATGAGAGCAGGAGACAGTGAGCTGACAAAATATCAGATCAACAGTGATCTTAATTTTCTCAATGAACAACCCCTTTCTTCTTCAGTGATCTCTGGTCATGTGCTTAATCCACTGCAGGCTGTAAACTGGGATGTCATCTCAAGGTCTCTTAGGTTTCCCCAAAGCTTAGTTGTCAGGTCTAATAGGTGTAGCCACAAGCTGATTAGCAGCTCCGCCAATAGAGGACAGTCTTGCAGGACATGTTCTGGAATCTGTTCAGCACGAAGACGCTGGCAGAGAGCTGTTTGGCTCATACCTTATTTATATAAATGTTTGTAGAGTCTGCTGTGTCCAGGACGTAAGCGAAAAACTGCGACTTGGTCTTTTCTGCTCAGATGTTTGAGGTCTTTTTCATAGTTATAACCTGTGTTAGTTTTCCAATCTGTTTTATGATTTTCTCTTAAGGAGGGTTTTGATTTCTGGAAAAGATAGTGGCTGATAGCTTGTTGGAGCCCCACTGCAGCCAATCTTCACTGTCGAGACAGTACCCGGCCATGGCCATTCAGTTAAACGTATTCCATTACTCCCCACCAAAAAATGGTTGAGATACTCCATGTCTGGGGACTGCTTGTACTGCTCTAGACAGTTTGCGATCTCTCGCTGACGATATTCTGTCTTCCCGGATAGTGGACCTCCGAGATTAAAACACTGCAAGAACAGCTTGCCTGAGGTTGCAAAAACTTTCAGTCATCATCCCACCTAAAAATAACTCAACCACAAAATATGCTGCCCCCACAAAAAACAACAGTGTTCTGCACCGGAAACTCGCCCGAAATAGCAGTCAATGACAAACTAACAGAATGAGCCAAGAGAAATCACAGCCACTGAAAAATAACCGGAAACAGCACAACTGATTCAATGAATGAAAATGAAATCCTGTCTTGACTTTAACTTTAGCTTGATGATGTGGCTAAGGCATTGCGAGTACAATTCGTTATTTCAACTTACCCCGATCGAAACCCACTTCTGGCTGTGTGGATTTTTATCATAGTATGAGGCGTCGCAGGTCAACCCAGCGTAAAATGGGTACCAGGATGTAAGCTCTGGGAAAGTAAAGACGGCAGGCATAATGCTGACCACATTACCCACCTAGTGCCGATTGGTCTGTAAAAATATGGGTGCTCTTTCCATATTCCCGATGCGCCTAAAGGTGTGAAAAGGGATCTTTACTTTGTTTCTTTTACTTATTTGATGTGAGTAGCTAGTTTTTTAAAGAACAAGAAATACATTACCTGTGGAAGACTGCCGATGATGCTGCCGGCTGGTGGTTGCATGGAAGCATACATGCCAGGTACACCCTGGGACATCTGTAGATTACTGTAACCATACGCCAGTGTCTCCTTCATCAAGCCGTGGTACATCTGCAGGGCTTCCATCACTCTTTTGTTTAGCTCCACAAGGCAGGCGTGTTTCCTGGAAACAACATGGAACAAGAAAACATAATCTGTTGGAGAACTTGTACGAGACTAGTTCTAACACTTAACCTTCTGCCTCCACAAACATATAATTCCTGCACTGGTGTGTGAGACTGGTTCTAACCCTTAACCTTCTGCCCCCACAAACATATAATTCCTGCACTGGTGTGTGAGACTGGTTCAAATACTTAAACTTCTGCCCCCACAAACATATAATTCCTGTGCTGGTGTGTGAGACTGGTTCTAATACTTAACCTTCTGCCTCCACAAACATATAATTCCTGCACTGGTGTGTGAGACTGGTTCTAATACTTAACCTTCTGCCTCCACAAACATATAATTCCTGCACTGGTGTGTGAGACTGGTTCTAATACTTAACCATCGAAACCTGCGTGGGCTGCGTGGATTTTTATCGTGGTTTGGGACGTCGCAGGTCGACCCAGCCTAAAATGGGTACCAGGATGGGCTGTCCTGGGAAAGTAAAGACAGCCGGCGTAATGCTGACCACATTACCCACAGAGTGCTGATGGTCTGTAAAAATATGGGACACTCTGCCCATATGCCCGATGCGCCGAAAGGCGTAAAAAGGGAACTTTACTTTTTTTTTTTACTTCTGCCTCCACAAACATATAATTCCTGCACTGGTGTGTGAGACTGGTTCTAACACTTAACCTTCTGCCCCCACAAAAATATAATTCCTGCGCTGGTGTGTGAGACTGGTTCTAATACTTAACCTTATGCCTCTACAAACATATAATTCCTGCACTGGTGTGTGAGACTGGTTCTAATACTTAACCTTCTGCCTCCACAAACATATAATTCCTACACTGGTGTGTGAGACTGATTCTAACACTTAACCTTCTGCCTCCACAAAAATATACAGAAGGCATGTTATACCGTGCTACGGGGGGCATGTTATACTGTGCTATGGGGAGGCATGTTATACTGTGCTATGGGGAAGAGCCATGTTATACTGTGCTATGGGGAAGAGCCATGTTATACTGTGCTATGGGGAAGCATGTTATACTGTGCTATGGGGAAGCATGTTATACTGTGCTATGGGGAAGCATGTTATACTGTGCTATGGGGAAGAGCCATGTTATACTGTGCTATGGGGAAGCATGTTATACTGTGCTATGGGGAAGCATGTTATACTGTGCTATGGGGAAGCATGTTATACTGTGCTATGGGGAAGCATGTTATACTGTGCTATGGGGAAGCATGTTATACTGTGCTATGGGGAAGCATGTTATACTGTGCTATGGGGAAGAGCCATGTTATACTGTGCTATGGGGAAGCATGTTATACTGTGCTATGGGGAAGAGCCATGTTATACTGTGCTATGGGGAAGCATGTTATACTGTGCTATGGGGAAGCATGTTATACTGTGCTATGGGGAAGAGCCATGTTATACTGTGCTATAGGGAAGAGCCATGTTATACTGTGCTATGGGGAAGAGCCATGTTATACTGTGCTATGGGGAAGAGCCATGTTATACTGTGCTATGGGGAAGAGCCATGTTATACTGTGCTATGGGGAAGAGCCATGTTATACTGTGCTATGGGGAAGCATGTTATACTGTGCTATGGGGAAGCATGTTATACTGTGCTATGGGGAAGCATGTTATACTGTGCTATGGGGAAGCCTGTTATACTGTGCTATGGGGAAGCATGTTATACTGTGCTATGGGGAAGAGCCATGTTATACTGTGCTATGGGGAAGCATGTTATACTGTGCTATGGGGAAGCATGTTATACTGTGCTATGGGGAAGCATGTTATACTGTGCTATGGGGAAGCATGTTATACTGTGCTATGGGGAAGCATGTTATACTGTGCTATGGGGAAGCATGTTATACTGTGCTATGGGGAAGCATGTTATACTGTGCTATGGGGAAGCATGTTATACTGTGCTATGGGGAAGTATGTTATACTGTGCTATGGGGAAGCATGTTATACCGTGCTACGGGGGGCATGTTATACTGTGCTATGGGGAGGCATGTTATACTGTGCTATGGGGAAGAGCCATGTTATACTGTGCTATGGGGAAGAGCCATGTTATACTGTGCTATGGGGAAGAGCCATGTTATACTGTGCTATGGGGAAGAGCCATGTTATACTGTGCTATGGGGAAGAGCCATGTTATACTGTGCTATGGGGAAGCATGTTATACTGTGCTATGGGGAAGAGCCATGTTATACTGTGCTATGGGGAAGAGCCATGTTATACTGTGCTATGGGGAAGAGCCATGTTATACTGTGCTATGGGGAAGCATGTTATACTGTGCTATGGGGAAGCATGTTATATTGTGCTATGGGGAAGCATGTTATACTGTGCTATGGGGAAGCATGTTATACTGTGCTATGGGGAAGCATGTTATACTGTGCTATGGGGAAGCATGTTATACTGTGCTATGGGGAAGAGCCATGTTATACTGTGCTATGGGGAAGAGCCATGTTATACTGTGCTATGGGGAAGCATGTTATACTGTGCTATGGGGAAGCATGTTATACTGTGCTATGGGGAAGCATGTTATATTGTGCTATGGGGAAGCATGTTATACTGTGCTATGGGGAAGCATGTTATATTGTGCTATGGGGAAGCATGTTATACTGTGCTATGGGGAAGTATGTTATACCCTGCTATGCAATCACTTTACTTTCTCTTTTTCACATTCCCTTCCATATTTCCCCCACCACTATACACGATCCATGCAATTTTGTTCCAGCGAATTCCCCCCAATACCTGTATTACTCATGTCCTATTTATGCACATTTTTATACCGCAGCAGAGGCCAGTCTCGACATCTTCTCCAGCATCTATATCTACAAGACATTTCCAAGGCAGATCAGGTTGTGTGCTGACTAATTATTTCACAGCATAATGTATTTACTTCTTGTTCTTATTTTTCTGTGTTCATCCTTTAAACGCGTCTTGCACACTGTGTTGTGGTTTACAGCTAGGCTGTGACATCTGCACCTTCAGGAACTAAGCTGACTTACATGTTGTCCCTCTCAAGCAAATGAACTCCAACACTGAAGGAGATACCCCTAATTAGTCAACATTGTTACGGGGACTGTGGATATATTCCACCCTCCCCAACCTAAATGAGGCCACTGAACCAACACAGAGAAAATACTTTATGAATAAAAACTTCAAAAAAGCACCAGGAAAAAAAGAAAAGGGAAAAGAAACCTACTTGTCTACGATCTCCAGTTCTGCATCAATTGATGGCCCCATAGACCGGCACTGTTCTGAAAATAACAATATCACCATTTTACAAAACAGATAATTACTACAGAGATGGGATTGATCAGTTCCAAGTCACTGATTCTACCCCTGACAGAGGGTAATCAGTTATCTTCTTCTTATAAAGGTGTATGTACAGCTGCAACAGCTGTACTGCTTAAGTCCAGCTGTGTGATCACACCAACATGTGAAACAAGAATTATCAACAGGCAATGTAGTATACCATTAAAAATATTTTTTGGCCAAACGTGGACACTTACATCCTCCAATGAATGTGAAATTGTGACAACAGAGATGAAATGCCTTAGAAGTGCTGCAGGAGTTTCAAGGAAAGACATGAAATCACGAAATCAGATGAATGCTAGGAATAAAGCCAGTCTTACAAGTCATTAAAGAACAACAAATGAAGTGGTTTAGACACCTAACATGAATGCCCTGGTACTATCCGCCACAGCGAGCCACACTAAAACATTACAAGGGGTATAGAGTGAGCGGAAGACCTTGGAAAAGATGGAGCCTTACAGAAATGAACATCAGTCTTAATAGTGCTCTTGACATAGCTCATCAACGAATGTTACATCTCCCCCGACACTTTGGTGAGGTACAAGGTGGAAGAGAAGAAGAAGAATAATAAGAAGAAGATGAAGAGCTGTGGTAAACATGCTGGCACCTACCTGTCTTTCCAGACGATTGTGTAATACTGTGCTACGAGGACGCATGAGACTCACAGCCAATGAATGCTAAGAAGAAGAAGAAGAAGAATGGCATGGGACTGCCAGGATAAGACAATAAGACAGCAATCAGATTCTCAACAAGCTGGCTTTCCAGAATGAACTAGCGGACTAGATGACAAGTAATGTACCACTGCCTGCAGGCAGAAGTATGGACAGAGCTGAAAACATCAAAGCTGTAAAGACTAGAAGGTGGAGAATAATGAGTCTCAGATGCTAACCCAATTACGTGACCTGGGAGTAAAGCCTATTAAGGCTGTCTATGCCATCTTTGAGGTCAAGATCATCATCAGGTAGCAGATCCATAGCAGAACGTCACTCTCATCATGGTCTACCTGAAAGAAGCTCCATCTTTCACCAGCTTCCCCATCTCATGCACTTTCCTACCCAAGGTCGGCCTCTGCCCTTATTCCAGGTACCATGCCTTCTGCTACTATTCTTTCCAATCTAATTGTGGTTTACATTAGGCTATGATATCTGCTCCTTTCAACTAAACACATCTGATTTCAGCAAAGACATACAATATGCTTGTTATGGGATAGTTCAAATATCCCCCCCCCCCCCACCCATAATGGGGGGGAAACAACCCACACACTGTCTTACCTTCCAAGAGAAGCAGGTGATCACTGTCAACTTCTATCTCCCCTGTAGGATCTGCATTCTGAATCAGATTCAGAGCTTCATCGATTTTTGCCTGGTTAATTGAGAAACAGGAAAGTTATGATAATTAAAGAGCTTTTCTTCAAGTTCACCGGCTGTAAACTCCGGCATAAAGTTCTGGTTGTTCGTCTACTTCTGGATTTTTGGTACTAATTCAGAACTTGAGCATTTCTATTTTACAGATTTGGCTTACTTGTATGTGGACCCTTCGTTCTTTGCCTCTTAGGCAACTTCAAAGAAAACCCTTACTTTGCTGACTCTTACAACGTGCTTGTTAAGGTGAAAGTGATACCTATTCTTTCTTTCCTCAAACCAGGTTCCCTAAAAGAGACACAGAGGCCAATCAGCATGAAAATGAGCATAAAATATAAGTCACACTTCGGGTAGGAAAGTGCATGAGAGAGACTGAGTATTTTTCAAGCAGTCAGTGGTAAGAGCGACATTCTATAAGGGGCCAGCCACATGATGATGGTGACATCTTGAACAATCTTCTTCTTTCTTTACCTTCATCGGCTGTAAATTCTGGCAGAAAGTTCTGGTTATTCATTCACTTCTTCTTCTTCTTCACTTCCTCTTTTACCACTGTGGGTGTCGAGGGAGATATAAGGTTCTGTTTCTGGCTCTTCTGGCCTCCTCGACCATAGGCACATCGTGCTGTTGTAGAGCTTCTCTGATGTTATCCTTCCATATTTTTCTTGGTCTACCTTTTGCTCTACGACCTTCTTCTCTTTCCATGTATGCTTTGTATGGTATGGTGTCACAAGGCATTCTCTCTAAGTGGGCAAACCATTTCACTTGCTGTCTTTGTATGTAATCCAGAGTTGGTTCTGTGCTGACTTTTTCTCTTATGATCTCATTCCTGATCTTATCTCTTATGGTCACTCCTAAAGCCCTTCTCAGACATCTCATTTCCGTGGTTACTAATTTTCTTCTATGGTTTGTTGTGAGTGACCATGTCTGGCACTGGTAGCACAGAGTTGGAATATTCATTCACTGCTGGACTTCAATTTTGTTCCAGAAACTGAATTTGGCATGCACATCCATTTTAAAATCTGGCTCATTCTAACTGTTGATTCGTCGCCTCTCAAACAAATACATCCGGACTCATTCAGCATGACTGGTAGGGGGCAATGGGTCTATTCTTTTTTGTCCTCCCCACGATGGGGTCCTTAATCCCACTCAGTGATCCATCAGATGATAACACCACTTTGTTTTAGAATACAAGAGTACTGATACTCTCTCATCAATACAATTTCACATTAGATAGCAACAACAGAAACACTGTCTTATCTAAGACCAGTGGTTCTCAACCTTCCTAATGCCGTGACACTTTAATACAATTCCTTATGTTGTGGTGACCCACACCCCCCCCCCCCCCCCCCATTATTTTCACTGCAACTTCATAAATACAGTGAATATGTGTTTTCCGATGGTTTTAGGTGACCCCTGTAAGAGGGTCGTTCAACCCCAAAAGGGGTAATGACCCACAGATTGAGAACCGCTGTCTTAGACAGTAACACCATGAGCAACAAACAACCAACCTCATCAACTTCCTCCTCCTCTCCAGGCGACAGACTCAGAGTTTTCACTTGAACCTCCTCATTGAACTGTACAGATTTCTTCTCTTTCACTGTAAATTCAATTGTAAAAACCAATGAGGTTGTTTGTCTACTTCTGGACTTTAATCTTGTTTCAGAACTTGAGTTTTGCATGCATATCCATTTTACATATGTGGCTTATTTGTATGCATACTGATGGCCCCTGGCCTCTCAGACCGAGGCATTCCAATGTTAAACAATGCCGCTAATTAGTTGACTTTTAGGACATGCTTGTTAGGTAGGCTGTGGGTCTACCCGATATGCGTTGTTTACAGAGAACAATAAGTACAGACTAATCTTACAGGGCAACTGTTTCTTCCCCACCAGATCTATATTCTGCAGGATGAACATCTCAAGGGCGAGAATCAAACAGCTCCAAATGACGGAAACTATATAACGATATAGCCTAGTTATTAAAAAAAACTAAAGCAGGTCAAGTTCCTTCACACGCCAGTGGTGCATCCAGCACTTAAGGCTAGATTCACATACTCAAGCAGGTCAAGTCCCTTCACACGCCAGTGGTGCATCCAGCACTTAAGGCTAGATTCACATACTCAAGCAGGTCAAGTCCCTTCACACGCCAGTGGTGCATCCAGCACTTAAGGCTAGATTCACATACTCAAGCAGGTCAAGTCCCTTCACACGCCAGTGGTGCATCCAGCACTTAAGGCTAGATTCACATACTCAAGCAGGTCAAGTCCCTTCACACGCCAGTGGTGCATCCAGCACTTAAGGCTAGATTCACATACTCAAGCAGGTCAAGTTCCTTCACACGCCAGTGGTGCATCCAGCACTTAAGGCTAGATTCACATACTCAAGCAGGTCAAGTCCCTTCACACGCCAGTGGTGCATCCAGCACTTAAGGCTAGATTCACATACTCAAGCAGGTCAAGTCCCTTCACACGCCAGTGGTGCATCCAGCACTTAAGGCTAGATTCACATACTCAAGCAGGTCAAGTTCCTTCACACGCCAGTGGTGCATCCAGCACTTAAGGCTAGATTCACATACTCAAGCAGGTCAAGTCCCTTCACACGCCAGTGGTGCATCCAGCACTTAAGGCTAGATTCACATACTCAAGCAGGTCAAGTCCCTTCACACGCCAGTGGTGCATCCAGCACTTAAGGCTAGATTCACATACTCAAGCAGGTCAAGTCCCTTCACACGCCAGTGGTGCATCCAGCACTTAAGGCTAGATTCACATACTCAAGCAGGTCAAGTCCCTTCACACGCCAGTGGTGCATCCAGCACTTAAGGCTAGATTCACATACTCAAGCAGGTCAAGTCCCTTCACACGCCAGTGGTGCATCCAGCACTTAAGGCTAGATTCACATACTCAAGCAGGTCAAGTCCCTTCACACGCCAGTGGTGCATCCAGCACTTAAGGCTAGATTCACATACTCAAGCAGGTCAAGTCCCTTCACACGCCAGTGGTGCATCCAGCACTTAAGGCTAGATTCACATACTCAAGCAGGTCAAGTCCCTTCACACGCCAGTGGTGCATCCAGCACTTAAGGCTAGATTCACATACTCAAGCAGGTCAAGTTCCTTCACACGCCAGTGGTGCATCCAGCACTTAAGGCTAGATTCACATACTCAAGCAGATCAAGTCCCTTCACACACCAGTGGTGCATCCAGCACTTAAGGCTAGATTCACATACTCAAGCAGGTCAAGTCCCTTCACACGCCAGTGGTGCATCCAGCACTTAAGGCTAGATTCACATACTCAAGCAGGTCAAGTCCCTTCACACACCAGTGGTGCATCCAGCACTTAAGGCTAGATTCACTTACTCAAGCAGGTCAAGTCCCTTCACACGCCAGTGGTGCATCCAGCACTTAAGGCTAGATTCACTTACTCAAGCAGGTCAAGTCCCTTCACACGCCAGTGGTGCATCCAGCACTTAAGGCTAGATTCATATACTCAAGCAGGTCAAGTCCCTTCACACGCCAGTGGTGCATCCAGCACTTAAGGCTAGATTCACATACTCAAGCAGGTCAAGTTCCTTCACACACCAGTGGTGCATCCAGCACTTAAGGCTAGATTCACATACTCAAGCAGGTCCAGTCCCTTCACACGCCAGTGGTGCATCCAGCACTTAAGGCTAGATTCACATTTGTATCCACCGATCTGCCCCTGGTGAGTCATGTGCTCAACATCACGACCATCTTTCCTTCCCAGGAAATTGCCTGGTACCCATTTAAGGCGGGATGGGCTATGGAAGCGTTTCTCTTTTTTTGTTGTTGTTGTTGCCTTGACACCCTTGTCAGGAAGTCTTTTTTTATTTGCGGTACACCTACCCTTAAAGTGGTTTTTAATACTAAGGAAGAAATAAAAAACTGCAAATTCAATCTTCAGTTGTCTTTAATGAGATCAATGAAACTGCTTGGAGAAAATTTTTCCATTTTTTCTTTATGTTTATGGAAAGTTTAGTAAATTTTACCCTCAAATCACTTGAAGTTTGCTCCTGTATCATTTTTTAATGTAAGCGTACGTTAAGAATGCACTGCATCTGTGCCAATAGGATTATTTTCTGAATACACCTGCATCCAGAAAGCTTCTTGGCTTTCTTCACGGCATTTCTGTTTTAAACTGCTGTCTTCGCTGATCTCAAGCAAATTTTGAAAAATTCTTTGATCACTGGCATGGCAATCCTGACATAGGCGGCAAGGACCCAGTTTGAGAATCGCTGGGCTAGGGTGTCAAGTTTAAAAAAAAATTTTAATAAGACTCCTGGCTGATTTGATTTCATGACCTTCGGATCCACATACTAGTATCTAGCTGCCACATCACGGCGGCTCCCACAGGTATACTGGGGCACCACCAAATGGCTACTAAGTAACCTGTATTCCAGTATGGGTGGGTTTGAATGATGGTATGGTAGCTCAGTCATGTCTGACCAAACAAGTTTTCTATGAAGTTCTGACAAAATCTGCAACCCACCTGTAACTTCTGGTCGAACTTCAGCTGTTAAGTCTGCAGTGACAAAGTTAGCTGGGAACAGGCCTTCTCCTCTGTGGTTGGAACCCTTCCACCAATTCTGATCTCTGGAACAAATAGACAAAAGTAACAACATGGGGGTATGCTGCCATAAAAAGTCAGCGTGAAAGTACTTTTATGGATATATGGTAATACACATGGTTGCACACTGGCAACTATGAACCTCTTTTAACCACAGTGAAAAGGCAAAAAATGCAATGGTTTGGACATGTAATAGGATCTAACAGCCTCTAAAAAAAACAATACTGCAGGGCTCAGTAGAGGGAGATAGGAGAAGAGGCAGACCAAGAAAGACCTGGTTACAAAACCTGACTGACTGGACAGGCCTCAGGCATGCAACCATGAAGTCCATAACAACTGACCGCCAAAGGTGGAGCGAGATGTTCAGACAGTCAACAGAAACTGGTGACCTAACGACACATATTGTTATGCATAAGACCTGTACAGTCAGTAAAGTTCTGTCTCCTGGTTTTTCTTGGGCTGCCTCTGGTCTTATCCTTAATTCTGCCCTAATTATAACTTTGTCAGAGACAAAATATACAAATTTGCGGGACATCAGGGGTTTTTCTTGGCGGTGGTGAAACGTCGCAAGCTAGCTTGGTTTGGGCACATGGTGAGACATGATTGCAAAGACTGTACTTCAAGGAACATTTGTGGGGGGGGGGGGGGGGGGGGGGGGGGGGGGGGGGGGTAGGGTGTAGTTGAAGAAAAGGAGGGCAAAGAAGAACCTGGAATGACAAAATCAAGAAATGGACAGGACTAAGTTATCATACACAGATTAATCAAGCAGAAGACAGAGAAAGATGGCGGGTTTTATGGGCTAGTGCTTCCATCAATACACCTCCACGACCCTAATGTAATTATAACTTCTCTGGATGCTGAACCAAGGTCATTTTTGAAAAAAGGCTAGCTTTTATACCCCAGCCTGGTCAATTCTGACGTACATGACGGATTTATAAGAAAGTAAAAGGCATGAACCATGCAACAGTAACTCACCCATCATCCAAAACACAAATTAGTTCGCCAGCCTTAAAGGTCAACTCATTGTCCTCGGCGGCCTCAAAGTCATACAATGCTCGAACCTGTTGGAAATGAATCAGAATCGTGATACAGTCAGTCACTGCAATTAGTCAATGGTTCATTTGTAAATCTTATGCAAAGATGGTCCCCTTATGCATCAACATTAATAGCCACATGAAATGTTACCTTTCTGATCTTCTTGTGGCTGACTTAGCCTGAAGATGCTAGAATGACTGTAAGAAAGCTGGCTCACTTTTAATATAGCTCGTTTACTCTGGAACAAATACAGCTTTCAACAATTGACAACACTGGAACGCCACTCGAATTCCAGTATACACTTTGGCAGTATATTTCTCCTATTCCATCAGAATTACTCAACCACAATCATTGTTGTTCACTTCCACAAATTTCCTCCGAAGTCGGAGTACATCTGCCTGAGAGGTGGGGAACGAGTACTGCAAACAAATAAGCCAGTAAAACGGATGTACACGCAAAACTCAGGTCAAGGTAAAAGCCAAAAGTCCATTTTGGACGAACAACCGTGACTTACCGCCGGAATTCACAGCCGGTGAACAAGAAGAAGAAGAAGACTTCCACAAAGAATCCACAATAATCATTTACTCAACGTTGACTACACTTAATTAAAACTACATTGATGACATCATGACTGTCTTCTTCCAACTATGGTACACAACTGACCACGAGTCAACCTCGGACTTGCCATCGTTTACCTTTCTAGCCCCAAGTATCTCGTGCGGTCGTTTGAGGCACGGATTTTCTGCTTGACTTGCTGTGAGCGTGGAGACCATGTCATCACAACGACATGTAATAACACCCACATAACAAATTATCCTTCTGACCCCTTGTGTGAAGGCTTGCACTAAACTTGCTGAATGCTAGAATTATTAGTCATATCAACTGCTGAAAACTGCCAGTTACTGACTGTATTTACCACTTTTTGTGGAGCCTGAAAGTTTAGGGCTGCACGGCTTGTGCTGTCACCATGGACTGTACAGAGTAGAATTTAATGTTTGCCTCTGCAGAAACATATCCATGACCTTATTGAAGAAGAAGAAGAAGAAGAAGAAGAATAAGAAGAAGAAAGAAGAAGAAGAAGAAAAAAGGAGGAGGAGGAGAAGAAGAAGAACTGAGCGCACTGACTGCCAGAGTGCCCATTAATATCAAGATCTACATAAAATATGACCTTTCTGATCTCCTTGTGTGCGGGTTTGGATGGAACCTGCTGACTGCCAGAATGCCCAGGATAAAGAGCACTACTTCTGCCCGCTGTCTCGCTGCTGACAGATCTCCCGCTGGTCGACTTGCTGTGTTCTTGTTGCAAAGACAAGGCAATGGCTGCAGAGCAAAAAATGAGACATTACTGAGCCCGTACAAAAGCTGAATAGGTGTCGTGACTTGACGCTTAATGAAAGGGAGATCTGAAAGTTGTGGGTTCAAATCGGCATGGATCTGGAATTTTTCATACATGAACTTACCTACAAGTCATAAATGGGTACCAGGTAAAGTCATGGGAAGTAAAGGCAGCCAGCGAGATGATGACCACATCACCCACTGAGGGCCGACGGTTTAATGAAAAACATGAGTCTAGCCTATGCCTAATATACCAATGGCGTGTAAAGAGACATTTACTTCACTGAGCCTGTGTAATTGTCCTTTTTCTGCCATCTGAAGAAAGACTTTGGTATCCCTGGCCAGGTTGAAGATGAAATCAGAAAATTCACTAACTAAAAACGAAGCTAGCAGTGAATCAGAACAATTTGCACCTAAACGTATGAACAAAGACTCGTAAACAAAGTCAACAATTGTAAGAGTAACCTTCCCTGAATATTTGAATGGTAGTTCCTAATATTAAAATGAATACAGAGCAGAATGTACAGGACACACAATCGACGAAGACTGTTTTGTTTGGTCATATTAGAATTTCTCAATCAACAGACACAGGGTTGCTCTGGCGCCAAAGAGTTAAGGTTTCTGGTTATAAATATTTTTTTAAATTATACCATTATATTTGATTACAATTAAGCACATTATAATAATTATTAATAATGACTTAAACAAGGCTTTGGCTCCCTTAAGAGCTCTCCCCACTTCCATGTTTTCTTTGTGTTGGCGCTTCTGGTGAGCAATATTGTGACAGTTATCAGCACTAACATAACATAAAATGGTCTGCAAAGTTAGTGTTATTCAACATTGTATTTGAAGTCCATATATATCTAATCCAGCTCAAGAGTGACAGAAACAAGAGTCACAGAAACAGTCACAGAGACAGAGTCTTCTTCATGTTCACCGTCTGTAAACGCCGGCGAAAGGTTCTGGTTGTTCACCCACTTCTGGACTGTAGTCCTGTTCCAGAACCTGTTTTGTGTGTATCCGTTTTACAGATCTGACTCTCTGAAAGCAGGCTGTTGGTTCCTTGCCTCTCAGGCAGATATTTGTCCAAACATTTCTCTGATTTCTCCACCCTTTCTGAATTCATCCCATTTTGTGTTCACGATTTTCCCTCTGACATTTATTTTCAAATGCATTGAACTTTTGCTGCCATAACAACCCATAACACCCCTAGAATTTTGGACTCTCCTGGCAAGTGGGATTTCCTTTTTTTGGGGGGTTAATTAAAAATAAAGTATGAACCTTTTATGAAAACTATTTTCTTTACATAATATGCTCTATATAACTACCATTGTTTTGAAAAGACATTTTGATGCATGTCCTCCAGTGCTGAAGAACACGTATAAGCACAGCCGGAGTTATACTTGTAATGGCACTGGTGATATGTTTAATTTTCCCTAGGTATGGAGATTCATGGGACACCATGTAAAGGTTAAGTCGGAAGATGTGAACCAGCGTCATTGCACACGGTTATAAACCATAAGTGCTTTGCCACCAGTACGGACAGCTGATAAGAAACAGTCCATCTGTGTTGCCGTCTGCACCAAACCCAGTAGCTACAGCGACGTTCCTCCATTTACCCCAAAGTGTTAACTCTGGTACCCATTTCTTAGAGGCTGGGTAAACCCAGGGAACCGCCCGGTTTCAAACACAGGTCGTGTGCTGTAGCGAGTCGCAGATGGATTTGAAAGCAAGTCTCCTATTGACTGCGCTAATGGGCCCCTGGGACAACCTCTACACCAGAGCTTAACACAAGACAGTTAACGACCTACCTTTTGCTAAATCTTCTTCTTCCTTTTTTAATACTGATGGATTTGATGCAGATTTCTTCTATAAATTGAAATAACAAAATAAAATAATTGAAAAACTGAAGAAAAAAATTGCTTATAATTTCAAGTTCAACGTGTTAATAACAAAGCAATTTTTCCCCGTTGCAAATTTAAACAAAGAAGAGACAAACAATTTTGCACAATTCATTGTCTGGCATATTTCGCTCATCTCGTCATGTGCATAATACATTCATTCATTCATTCATTCAGTAGCATGTCCCTCGCGGAACCTCGCTGCCATAACAACCCTCCGGAAAACCTTCCTATCCTGAGCAAGATGTCCTGCGTCTGATACACCCATCTGGAGATCATCTGCCACATCCTGCACCCATCTTCTCCTTGGCCTTCCTCTTCCTCTCTTCCCAGGCATATACCCCTCCATTATTGTTCTCTCTAGACTTCCATGACGTTTCAAGTGAGCAAAATATTTCAATTTTCTTTGTTTTATTGTCTTTACTAGCCAACCCTCTTCAATATTCAGCTCTTGAAGTATGGATGCATTTGTTCTTTTCTTTACCCAAGATATTCTTAGAACCTGTCTGTAACATTTATATTCAAATGCATTTATGCATAATACAGTAACAATTAAATAAATTAAGCGGGTAAGTGAATCTTTTATAACTGAAGTACAAATTCAACACATTCAAAAGCAACCGTAACGTTAGAATGTTTGCTAGATGCTGTGATCTTCTTCTTCTTCTTCGCGTTCATCAGCTGTACACTCTGGCGGAAAGTTCTGGTTGTTCGTCCACTTCTGAACTGCAGTCCAGAACCTGAGTGTTGCGTGTGCATCTGTTTTACAGATCTGATTCACTTGAACCAGACTGTTGGTTCCTTGCCTCTCAGGCAGATGCACTCCGACTTCAAAGGAAGCTCCCCAATTAGTCGACTCTTACGACATGCTTTTGGGCAGGCAGAGGGTCTATTCTTGTTTTCCCCATGATGGGGCCCCGGAACCCACACGAGGAAGATGCTGTGATATCACAGCTTTGAACCCCACACACTGTTTTCACCTCTCAACACTGAGCCACTGGTGTAGATAATCACATCACTTTGGCAGGAACAGTCATTTTCTTCTTCTTTCATTCGCCTACATATATCCATGACGTGTGTGCGTGGCATCCTGATTGCTGTGGTGCGCCTCTTGGCTGGTTGCCTCCGACTTCAGCACCTTGTTTTGCTAGGGTAGACTGTGATCATACTCGAGGAGGGTAGGCACATCCATTCGTCTTTCACCATTACCTCGTTTATTGTCCCATCCAGTTTCCCGCTGGGGGGTTGAGACCCCAACCTTCAACTGGATTGCTGGGAAGAACAGGGTCCACCACGTGAAGGTGAGGTAGGCTTGAGCAAGAGAGGCTAACAGACATTAAGAGTCTTGTATTGCGCATCATTGCTTCATTAGGACCCCAGGAACAGTCATGAATCAGATGTTTAATGTCTGATTCTGCAGCATGTGTGACACAGCGGCCTCCTTTTTATTCCCAGGTTCGATCGTATTTGTCACAAGGGTGGCGGGTGATTGTTTATAGACGAGGAGAAAGATGGTCGTGTCGTTAATGGTGATGATGATGCACAATTAGCACTCGTTGCATGCTTCTCAAGTTGACTCTGATTATACAACAAAGTGTCTGGAAACAACTACTCTTGTCTACAATCTATTTATTGTTATATCTCAGCAATGTTACAAATTAACATCAGTGATATTTTGAAAGGTGCTGTGTTCTTCCTAAATACTAAATACTTGTAGGTTCGCGTTGTGTTCTTTATCTCTAGTTACTTGGTAAACTGGTTCTATTGTCTTTAACTGCCACCGGCTACTAGTGCAGGTTGGGCTAAAAGGTTTGTTATCTAATGCCGTCTAACTACTTATCTATGCTCTGGCCTCTTCTTCATCTGTCTCCGAGTCAGTATCTGTCCCCGAAGTTGTATCTACACCTGAATCCGGCTGGACCCATGGGTGGTGGAAAATGTGAAACTCTCTTACTATGAAGCGGTATACAAGAGTTGATCCGTCGTCTTGTGTAAAAATAATCGTGACCAGTCGGAATGGGCCACTGTTTCTGACAGTAATTCTAATCGAATACATATATATATATTTCTTTAAATATCTGCCTCAGTCTATCTCCGTTTTTCCTTTGGCCTGTCTCCGTCTGTGTCTTGTGTCTCCTCTATTTGTGTCTATCCTCTGTCTATCCCCGTCTAACCTCTGCCCTGCCTGAGTCTATCCTCTGGCCTGCCTCCGTCTGTGTCTGTGTGCACATATTCTGTATGTTTATCCTCTGGCCTGTCCGTCTCGTGTCTGTCAAAGGTTCTGGGCAATCGTTTATAAAGGGGTTACTAGCCTGCTCCCAGGGGGCTCCTGTCCCTCGTTGTTTTGCAGATTTCTGCAGCGACCTGAGCTGGCCGGGTCCGTGGAATTTTACCTAATGATGTAAACTAATTGCTTTGGTGCTGGACGGAGAAAGTCACATGATGTCAAATCAGACGACTCAAAGTACGTGGGAAACAAGAGTAGGGACCTAAGGGGGGATATAAGTGCTTGTTAAGCACAAGTTCTAACAATAAGGGTGAAGGCCACAAGGGGTCTTGTCGTGCAAACAGCACAACACTAAAAAGGGGGTAGGGGTACTGACTTTGCTACATATGTGCTGGCCTGTAGCTGCATTCCTAGCAGAGGTGTTGAAGAAAGTAAGAATGAAAATTGTTGTTGAAAGAATGAAAACGAGATAAGTAAAATATTTTTGTCACAGTCAAGATATAACACTGTTTTCTTTTTGTTCTCCCCGTTCACCAGCTGTAAACGCTGGCGGAAAGTTCTGGTTGTTGTTCCACTTCTGAACTGCAGTCCTGTTCCAGAACCTGAGTGTTGTATGAACATCTGTTTTACAGATCTGACTCATCTGTATGCAGACTGTTGGTTCCTTGCCTCTCAGGCAGACGCACTCCGACTTTGAAGGAAGCTCCCAATTAGTTGGCTCTTACGACATATTTGTGGGTAGACAGTGGGTCTATTCTTGGTTTCTCTGTAATGCGACCCCGGAACCCACAAGGGAAATAACACTTTTAAAAACCATACCGGAAGAAACAGTTCAAGGCAAATAGCAAGAGGCAGACAATGATGCAAATGGGAGGATAATATCAAGATAGATGAACAGCAGTCTCAGAGAGTGTATAACTAGGTCAGGATACAGTACTGGAGATCCACTGCAGCCAACCATCATTGTGAAGATGGCACATGACCAACTGAACAAGAATAAAAAGGAATAAGAAGGTAAAGGTTAAAGGTTAAAAGTTGATGCACCAATTTTTATCCCATATGGCTTGATCTCTCTTTACAGGAGGGTGAGCCACCTGCTGAGAGGATCTCACCAGGTACAAACTCTGTAGCTCCAGCGACGATCCCCAGGGATCTCTGCAGAAATGGCGCTCATAAACCAAACAACGCAGCCATAAAAGGAATCCACAACTGTGAGATTAAGAAGATGAAACACAAAATTCTTGGCTAAGTGAATATGGATCTACTCACTGCTTCTGTGTCACTGAAGTCGATTCCTTCTTTCTTCAAACTTTCACAGAATGATGATATTAAACTGTGGAAGTGTTACATATTACTACATATGGAATCAATACATTCTGTACATACACAGGCTCTCCTTGACTTATGACCAGTATCTTATCCAACTAAAAGGTCGTAAGTCGAACTAGTCAAAAGTTGACATTCCTTCAAATGCGTTATATCAATTGTACATAAAAGACAAAAATTCATTATAGGTACACATAATTATTGTAGATAATGTGAAAGTTCATAATATTTACTCAATTCCATCAGTTCCAAGAACCTTCTGACCCTAACAATGTAGCTATCTTTCTTTATTTACTATTTTTATTTATTTATTTGTGTGTGGTCGTAAGTGAGGATGGTTGTAAGTCGCATAGGTCATAAATCGTGGAGAAGGTGTATATACAGTGCTGACGTGGTTCAGTGGTTGGAGAAAGAGCCTGTCAAGACAGTGGTACGGGTTTGATCTCCTAGGAGTGGTAGGATGTTTTTTATGAGTTCTTTTTTAATGTAGCTCTGTGGTCAACCAAGACTCCTATCTCTCTCGAATGAAATGCCATAATGCTTATTAATAAAAGAGAAACACACACACATAAATACAAAGAAATAGAAAGAAAATTACCCTAAAGGGTGCACCCTATAATGATTTTTATGTTTATGTGGGTTTTTTTTTTTTGACGTATCAACATCATGATCCCTTCTTCTTCTAACTCAAGCCTGAATCTGAAGAAGATTTTTAGCACAGTGCACAGGTTCTGTAGCACCGGCAGGGATACTGAAATACTTTGGGTAGATTTTTAAACTAAAAATTTTTGACGAAGCAGCGCCGTTATGCTACTCGTTTTGATTTCCAACTGCCAAGGGGTTTTTTTTTACTTGCGTAAGAATACACACGGGCGTCTGATCTTACTAACAAGAGAGAACAGGGGAACTACTAGAAGTCCACGTGAAAAAATCCCAGCGTAAACTGGAGCTTGAACCCAAGACCTCCAGTGCTCGAGCCAGACACCATACCTCGAGACCCTGCAGCCCATAATGAGTGGAAGGTTTAATATAAAGTGAAGTTAAGCAGTCTTGTACAGGGCATTACGATTCTTTAGGTCAGCCCAGCACCAGAGTACCATGTATCTTCTTATTCTTCTTCTTAAAGACTATGTTGTGTGGCACTGGTAGTCATGTCTATCCATGTCTCACTCTGTCTTTATAAAGACCTCCTTGGATGGTGGAAAGTGCCCAGTTCTGCCCCTGCCTTTCCTTGGGGGTCAACCTATCTGCACGCTGCTGCCATGCATGGATCCTCTAGAGACAGTTAACTGTAGATCAGTGCATGATGAAGTTACCACCCAGGGAAGGCTACAGATGTCCCACAAAAACTAACCCAGAAGACTAACCCGGATAACAAATGCCTGAAGAAGTTGGATGTTTCAGTCGCAAGTGCACAAAATCTCAGTTTTGCTGTAAACGGGCACAACACATTTTCCTCTCTCAGATGAACAATGAAAAAGAAGACAAAATGAAAGATATGTCATTCTTCTTCTTTTGTTCACCAGAAATAAGTTGTCTATATCAGCAATTTTGTCTCTCTCTAGTGTAAATGTCACTGTCATTTTTAGTTCGTTGAGTGGTCCACTGAGTTTACCTTCCACTGTTGTTCTTTCTGGCCAAAAGGTTTGCCTTAATGTATCAAGACAGGTAATGAATGACAGAAAGACAAAAAATAAAATATATAGACAATGAGAGACTCAGTCAAAGGCAAAGGTACTGTCTAACACAGAAAACAGACAGAAAAAGAGAAAGACCAAAAGGGTGACAGAAAATATGAGATAAGGAGAAGAGAAAAGACAGAAAGTAAGAGACAGAAAGATAGAGAAACAGACAGAGATAGTGAGAGAAAGAAAGACAGAGAAGCAGAAAGACAGTAAAAGACATAAATACAGAGACAGAAAGATATAAAGATAGACAGAGACAAACAGACACAGAAAGATAGATATACAGAGAACTATAAAATAAAACAGGAGGTATCAGAACAGTGTGGAGGACACAGGCAGAACAAAGACAGTCTACCTGAGGGCTGGATCATCCCTGAATTCAGGCAGCTCTGTCCAGGCTTTGATCATCAATTTGAGTTTCTGTGCCACTTTTGGATGTGCCTATCAGACAGAATACATTCACACTACATTGACAAGGACAATTTTTAGCAGAACTGTACATAAACATTCAATACTTGAAAGTAAAAAAAAAAAAAAAAAAAAAAAAAAAAAAGAAAGTTACAGAAGGACGCTAGACAACATTAACCGTGTGGCCCCGAGAAGGCTAAATATAATAACTTCTGGTTGTGATAGTCTTGTAAATACTGATATATGGTCAAGCTTGCAGTGACCTGTTTTCATAAAGCACAGTTAAATTCAACTGGTTCTAATGCATGCCAGCGCAGGATTCAGTAGATAAGGATATGAATATAGTAACTAAAATTAGTATTTAAGGGGTTTTCTCATGACCCAAATGTTTTTTTCTAAAGCCAAGTTGATTTCAAACTTCCTGTATGCCTCATTGATAGAGGTCATAGGGTCACAGCAGGAGTCACCCAGTACATTTGTTTCTTAGACCCCAGAAAATGTTTTTAATACTTCACAATGTACTTTCTACAGAAGCAAAGATGCCTGCGTTGGTTGGTACATGTCTCTCACATGAAGGACGGTCCTATTCCAAAGGATCTCCTAAGTGGTGAACTGGTGACAGGGATATGTGACCTGAAAGATATCAACACTGGCACAGACACTTGGAAGAGATCAGCTGCAGGCCGACTCCTTTGGAGGCAGACAGTGAAAGACGGACTGTCGCAGTTTGAAAGAGGCCAAACACAGCCAGCTATAGAGAGGTGATGCCTAATATAAAACCAGCGTCAGGACGATAGAGTATCATCCTGTTTAAATGTGAACCATGTGGCAGAGACTGTCACTTCCCCACTGGACTTTACTGTCATAGCGGACGCTGTTCCCAATACCAACGGCACAACTCCATGGTCCCCAGGGATCGATGGTTGCCTACTACTACTCACTCTGTTCATGTCTATTCTTCTGCATCTTTTTTCACTGTCTGTAAGCTTCGGCAGAAAGTCCTGGCTGTTCATTCATTTAAACTTTGTGCCAGGGCCTCAGTTTTGCATGTACGTCTGTTCTACTTGCTTATTTGTATGCAGCCTGATGTTACTTGCCACTTTGGCAGATGCACTCCAACTTTGGAAGTCCCCAATTAGTTGACTCCTATGACATGCTTGTGGGCAGGCAGTGCATCTATTCTTGTTTTCACCACAATGGGACCCCAGAATCCACAGGGGGAACATATTTATTGATTACTTCCTGTAAATATCATTAAATATTTTGAAAATAAAAATGTGAAATGTAGATAAATGTGAAAGCTTAGTCTGACCTTTCTCCTCAAGACCTTTCCGACATAGTTAAACCTGCCAGTGCAAAAACCTCCAACAGTATAGCTCTGAGAATCATTACAGTCCACAGTGTATCCCGCCACAACCAGGCACTAGCATCACAGGATGTTTTGTTAGAACTGGACAGGTATTTAGAAGAGAGGCAAACCAAAGCCTACCTTTTGAAAGATCAATGACCGGCATTCTGTAACAAAGTCTCTGGAGCAGATCTCCAGATGAAACGGCCGGCCACAGTTGCTGGCACAGGCATCCAATAGCTGCGGACAGTCAAGACAACCAGTCGGAGAATAATCCCATCCTTGTCTACAGTTAAAGGTTCTTTATTAATATCATACCCCAGATGACGTCACAGAACAGTCCAACATTTTAGAGGGTGGTATAACTGGGTTTCCTGGCTTTCTGATGCTTTTAATGACCTCAAAACATCTAGAACTGGCCCTAACCCCAACCCACCTACGCCCCACGAGAGAGTGCAGCCTAGGTCCTACGACTGCATGCAGCCTAGGTCCCACGACTGTTTGCAGCCTATCTACCTCACCCCTGAAATTTTAGACTGTCCCGTGAGCTGTGGATTTCCCATGTCTGGGGTAGGATATTAATAAAGCACCCAGTTATATACAGACAGCAATGAGGCCAGAAAAGGAAGTCTTACTACCATACCATCAGTAAATAATTATTTTATAAATAATTATACAATTTAAAAGAAATTATACAACAAAAAATTATATACAGTAAAACCTCATTAACATGAACTCTCTTAAGATGAACACTCGGCTCAACATGAACACAATTCTGGTCTCAACAGACATGTACTGATCATAATACATTAGTCCTGTGTTAGCAGAGATTTTTTAAAGAAGAAATCTTGGATTTTTCGTTAACATTCATGATAACAGGGTTTTACTCTATAATAATTATATCTCCCTTTTCTTCTGTGTTCATCTGAAGATGTAAATGTGTTATGCCCGTTTACAGCATGGCTGCGATATCTGTGCTTTTTGGCCGACACATCCAACTTCTGCAGGCATTTGTTGAACAGCTTAGTCTTCCCAGTAAAAATTATACAAAAGACGACACAACAAGAAAACACAACTGTATGATAAGATCGAAAACAGTTACACACACACACAAAACAGTTCTATAGATATGAGATACAATACCTACAGTTAAAGCTTGCATGGCAACAAAGGGCACTCTGTGGTTCATTCTTTTCACAATGGATTTCAAACAGTCTTTGGCACTGTGGAATATAATGTGAATGATATCTAGCACATAGTATATATGCCACAGAGGATGGGATGGAAAGAGGGAGGGTGCAAGAGAAAGAGGCAAAGAGAAAAGAGGAAACATGGTGAAAATAAATGTCATAGACAGACAAAAAAACACCAATTAAATAGAACAAGAAATAGAAAACATAGGTTTTTATTTTAACTCAGTCCCAAGGAAGGCATCATATGTTCATAGGTTCCTATCTAGAAGAATAATGAACACAAGATCCGTCAATGTTGGGTTTCACTTTACCACCCCTTTGGGCCTCTGATGCTTAAACCCCGGGACTGAAACAAGCTAAGCGTTAAATTACGGTTATCTAATCAACCCGGCATTGAACCTTTCACCCCGTAAAAATTGTTAATAATTTACTTTTTTTAAACACTTTATTCAAAAGAAACTCACCATTTTAATTCTCTGAAATGCTACCCTAGGAAACTAGAGGAAGATTAAGAAAAAGCTAACGATATGTTGTCTTGATCAGTTTTTATAAAAAGCCAGGGGGTTGAAACCTTTGACCACCAAGCAGACAGGCAAGCCTGCTAGCAAGAAAAAGAGGAGAAGGAGGAGGCGGCAGGGGAGGAGGAGGAGGAAGAAGAAGAAGAAGAAGAAGAAGATGAAGAAGAAGTGCAACTGTTCTGCCTTTAGCATCAAAACTGCTGGGGGGAGTTTTAAGCAATAGGTACAGATGTGTGTCTACATTTGCATTTGTACTCTCTACCAGAAAGCAAACCATACTAATGTAACAGGGCGGTTTTCTTGACAGAGAGAGAGAGAGGTGCTGAAAGGGATATATAAATGGAAAGATGGAGAAGGGAAACACAAAGGAAGGAGAAAAAGAGGAGAGGGAAGATAATAAGAAGAATAATGTTCCTTCTTCCTTGTGGGGAGTTTAATAATAAAGTGTCAGAAAAAAGTCAACTGCAAATTAGCATGTGACCCTTTTATAAGTTTTTGTTTTATACTTTCTATCTTTCTTACATAGGTCTCTAGCCTATCAGACGAAGATGTAAGATGCCCAGACAGACTGACAACACAATACTCACCCAGTGGGCTGTCTATTCACTTTCTCACAAATGTCAAGTATAAGACGCCAGTTTTCTGCTGTGTTCATTTCATCAGTGGCCTTTTCTATGGGGTCAGAATTGGATGTGTTGGTATAAGATTAAAGAAATATTCAGTTATCTACTTATGTGCAAGCATATCACTATTATCTTCTTCTTCTTCATAGCATTATATCTGCAAACTCTAGCGGAAAGTTTCAGTTGTTCATCCACTTCTGGACTAGCCTTGTTCCAGAACTTGAATTTTGAATGTATATCTGTTTTACAGATCTGGCTTACTAGTAGGGCTGTACCGAATATTCACTTCGTATTCGCTTTGGGGCCGAATAGTGGACCTAATAACTATTCGGTATATGGCCGAATAGTTGCGGTCGGGCCGAATACAAATAGTGGTTACCTTACACGCGTTTCTGGACTGGTGGAAAATAAAAATATCAAGATTTCCCACGGTGGTTCATACTGTCAAGCGATATCTTTGTGCACCACCTACGAGCGTACCAAATTAACGTCTGTTTAGTACAGCTGGAAATACCTTCAGTGAGACAAGGAGCTGCCTTAATGCTGACAACATGGAACAAAGGTTTTTTTTTTTTTTTGAAAGCTAATGCCGCTTTCATGGATTAACTAAGCTGTCAGTGACAATTTACAAGTTTAGTTACTTGTTATAAAACTTATAATACTTTCATTCCTAGGTATTAGTTACCACAGACTGACTGACTGAAGGATGCAAAACATGAAATGTTTTTAAATGTTTACTATTCTGTGCTACATTTTGTGAAGTAACATTTCAGAGTAGATTTGACATTATGGATGTTTTTTTGTTTAGATCTATTTTATACGCCAATCGAAACTGGAAGAATGGGCCTCAGTTTGAATAGTGGGAAGACAGAAGTAATGGTGGTATCAAAGAAAATAATTATTCTTAAATGTGTAATAAAAGTCAATAGTTTTATTTTGGAACAAGTACTGAAATTTAAGTATCTGGGCACATGGATAACATCAGATGGAAGATGCATTACTGAAATAAGAAACAGAATAGTACAGGCAAAAACTGCATTTTATAAAATGAAGAACATCTTAACTCTTTGAGTCCCAAGGAACACATCATACGTTCATAGGTTCCTACCTGGAAGTCCAATGAACGCATGATGCGCCGATCTTATTACTTTCTTTACTACCCCCTGGGCCTGTGATGCTGAACCCCCCTGGGACTCAAAGAGTTAAGCAGTGTATCTTTGTCATTGAAGGTTAGAAAAAGAATTCTTGCTTGCTACATACATCCAGTTTTAACATATGGCTGTTAGTCCTGGACAATCGGTAGGCAGGCCAAACAATTTTTTGAGGCCTCAGAGATGTGGTTTTACAGAACAATGTCTAAAATTCCTTGGACAGCTTAAAAAAAAAAAAAAAGCAACCAAGAGGTTTTGAAAAAGGTGGGAGCCCGAAGACACCTACTCACAGACATCAGAAGGAGACAGTCATCATTTTTCAGCCAATTTATAAGATGAGGGGAAATGGAACGTGTTGTGACCACTGGAAAGATCTGTGGAACGAGAGATAGAGGAAGACAACTAGAGAAGATTCTTGACAGTCTTGTTGCATGGCATGGAGGTGTGTCGGCACACGAACTAATCATGCTGCAGGAGATCGCAGATTGTGGGGAGGCATAATCGCCCATGCCAGTCGGCAAAGCACATGATGATGATTCACTATTTGTATTCGTATTCAGCCGAATAGTTGGTCCAGCTATTCGTATTCGGCCGAATAGTGAAAATCACTATTTGGTGCAGCCCTAGTATATAGTGGGAGATAGGGTACTCTAGACGTAAGAACTAGTCATCCCCTAGTAGGACGCAATTTTTCGTTATTCTAAAGCCCCACCTTGGCCCATGGTGGCACTTTGTGTCATTGGGTGTTTATCACTTGTGTGATGTCCTAGTGAGGTAAAATGTTCTACTACTACTACTACTACTCTAGACGTCTCAGTCCTCAGGTTCGGAAGCCAAAGTTGCAAGTATATTTTTTTATTTATTTGTCATTCAACACACTATTATTATGCTGAATTGTAAATAAATAAAATACTATACTTGAAATAACATGAAAAAGTACAAAGGTATACTTTCATGAGAATTCTTAGTCCCATTACAACATTATTGTGGGGGGGGGGGGAGGGAGTGTGCCATTCAACCCCTGAAACTTTGGGGGAGGCTTCAGGGGGATCTGAGCTCCCGGACTGCGACGCCTATGGTATAAGTATAAGTATTTAGATAAGAACAACTGACCTTTAGTTCTCCTATGGCACTGGACATTTCACGTCGGTCGTGGTAGAAAAATATTTATTTCTAACCAAATTACAGCTGCACTTTAAAATGTGTAAATATTAACGAACTGCCTGAACAAACGCCAGGACAGATTTGAAAAAAATTATAGCAGAAGGCATGGTACCAGGAAGGAGGGGCAGGGGCCGACTGACACGAAGATGGGCACAGGATAAAAGAGACTCCTTGAGTGTGAAAGTGCATCAGGCGGGAGAACTGGAGAGAGACCGAGTTTCATGTTTCTTTCAGGTCAACCGTGATGAGAGCGACGTTCTGTAAAGTAAAGGACCTGCCACATGATGATGATGTGTGAACAAAACGCTACAATAAACGGTTTTTACTGTTTTCTAACTCGACTTTAAGTCAGTACTGTCAGACCCGCTTCTAATCACTTTAGCCTTAAATCAAATGAGTAAACTGAGAAAAGGACTAAATTATTTAGTAAATAAAGGATTTAAGTAAAGGAAAATTCAGATTTGTTTAGTTATCGCGACCCATTTGAAAGGTCAAAACCACTGAAATAAATTCTCAGAACAGGTAGGATACATACCGACGTCGGCGTCGAATGGCGAACTAGTGGTAAACAAAGGCATGATGAAGATGAGCGGATGTTTGTTTTAGTTTAAGTGAAAGAATTAGTCTCCTCCTCTTCTCTCCTCCATCAACTGTTTTTGTTTCAGACGACAGGGCTTCTGGCGCATGCGCAGTAGTAACACGGTATGGTCATTGATCGTTATCTCTATTAATCATCATCACTTTCTTCTTCGCCTTCTTCTTTATCGTCGCCATCAGCGTCAACATCATCATCACTATAATTATCATCATAATCGTTTTCTTCCTCTTTATCAACAATACCACAATTAGTTATTAGAAAGAATTATCATCACTCCACTCCGGACAGATCCATAGGTGCTCCGATCTCCTCCTCAAAAAATGTGAAATGTTCATTTCTTGCAGCTCCAGGCTGCACCCCCATGTCCATCAGTCTAGACAGGGATATGGAGTCATGTCCTTTGGCGTGCTCCTCGGTACGGTAAGTGCAGCGCATAGCATTGATAACATCACTTCTGTCCAGTACTGGACCAGCCATAGCAACTGCAGTGTTAGCAAGATAGTCTGCACGCTCGTTGAGTTGAACACCCGCATCACCTGGCACAAGATGAAGTTTAGGGCAGATATTCGTGAAGTGCTTAGTGTTTCAATCCATTCTTGCCTGATAAATCCAGCTTGTATTTTTTTAAGCATATTCATCGAGTCACTAAGTAAGCATAGGTGTGTGAACTTGTGAGTACCAAGCCGTGCTAAAGCCTTTGTTACAGCCACAGTTTCCATTGTAAGGCTACTGGTTGTAAGAGCGAAGGCGCCATTTATCTCCTTGATGGTTTACCTCCTTGAGCTTACTGTGAATGCCCATGCACTTCGCTTTCCCCTAATTACTGACAGATCTGTGTTAACTACAGCATCACCTTCATCTGTGTTTTCGTAAATCAGTGTTCTGACTAAAGTGTCAACAGTGCCAGGAATCTGCTCTCTACAGCTTCCATCAAGTGTGACATGGACTGTAATATTAATGTCTGGAGAGGGATGAATAATTATCCATTCATTTCCAAAATTAATGTCAGTAAGGCAACAAACATTTTCGATGGCACCCTAAACCCGGCCCATCCAGGATTTGCCTCGTTTGAGTCTACTCAAACTTAATGACTTAATGTTGAAATGAATATGGTGTTTATAATCTGTCTCTTTGCACTCATAGTTATGCTTGGATGTCTTAATAATAGCGACAATTGGTATGTCAGTGCACTTGCTTTCTGACATCTGGTTTCTATAGCGAGAAGACTGGCAAGCCATGTTGAAATACATCAGCTGCTACCCTCCACACTTGGAGGACACAGACAAAATACGGAGACATTACGTAATGCTGCCGTCTTTGCACATGACACATTATGGAGAAGGCGGTTGGTTAAACCTACTTAATATTATTAGTTTCGTGAAATGGCATACAATTTTTTTAATGTACGCTCTTCTGCTTCAGTGGAAAAGCGGAAATATGATTGTGGTACAGTTAACAACCAGTGTTGCCACTTTGGATCTTTTACATTCAAATTTAGATCTTTTTCATTGCATTTAGATACTGTTTTTGACGTTTAGATCGTAAATATTTTTCTACAAATTTTTCATAAGGAGTTAGATATTTCATAGATTTTTTTTCTTTCATTGTCAATTTAATAATTACTGTGTAAAATAGTTACTACAATATTTTTGTTTTGGTCTGCTATCGAGCCATTAAAATTCGGCCTGATGAGACTAGAGAAATAAGCCTACTGTTCCACTTATAAAGAAATTTGAACAGCTAAAGCATACCAGGGTCATTTTGGATCTGAAGCTTCAACTTCATTATCCAAGCTAAGTTTATCCTGTGGATCTTGTGAGGCAGACATCAGTGAAGGTGAGGATATGATTATGTAGGGTAAATCATAACAAAAGCTATGTAATCTTTGACTTTTATAATTTGGATTTTTTCTAGATCTTTTCCACGCAGATTTAGATCTTTTTAGATATTTTTTGACACCGTTTTGGATATTTTTTGTCAAAGAAAAGTGACAACACTGTTAACAACAAAACACAACCAGTAACCAGTACTGGACGACAGCTGCAAGGCAGACTACAGGTAAATAAGTTATTAAATAGTAGTGAAAATACTAAAACAAAACATATATTCGGCTAGAAAACACTGCGGATAAGCAAACGGCTAAAGTTCGCAGCCTATTCTTAAATTAAGACTTAATTCTTCCATGAGCTAAAATTAAAAGATAAAAATAAAGTCCAGAGATCGGTTTTAGTTTTAATTTTACTTAACTTAATTACAACATTACTCTGTCATTAGTCATTACTGCATTACTTTTACGGATTTATCATCCCATAAACATATGGCTCGGTCTCTCCCCTCCACAGAACGGCTAGCTTCAGAGCTCGAGGCACACGGCTTGACCACGGAGAACCCTCCCCACCCCCCTTGAGTCTTGAGTTCTATCTATCCATCCCGTAAAGTTGTTACATTGAATCTTTTATGTTCAACTCCTTACCCTTTAATTCACTTTAATTTCCCGCTACCATGTGTCCCGTCAGACTATTGGCTAGACATCGACCTGGCTGCTTCAAGATGCGAAGATAAGGGATATTGTATTGTGTGTTTGTGTAGTATTGTCTAATTTGTGGAGGTGCTGATGAAGGTTCCATAGCTGCAACGTTCACATTTTGTAACAAAACTTAGTTATATTGTTATTGTGAAGCTCGCCAGTATACTTTTTGTTCGGGTTTATATCTTTCCTTGGCTATCCTCCGACTAACGGTCGGTAAAGATGGCGGCCGCAAAATATCCTTTTGAGCCACAGTCGCGTGACTTAATGTGCGGTTCTCCAGCGACTATCACCACCGCCATGTGTCCCCCATGCCGCTGACGCAGCGTGGAATGGGGCTAAACTAGATGGCTAGGACCCATGAGCAGCAGCGGCGGTGTGCTCATGACTGCTAGTGCGCAATTGACACGCGACTGTGGCTCAAAAGGATATTTTGCGGCCGCCATCTTTACCGACCGTTAGTCGGAGGGTAGCCGGTTTGGTTTATGACTTTAGGATCTTTATCTTATCCTAGTGTTTCTCTTTGATGTCCTCATTTGCTCAGTCCAGTTGTTTTTCTTTTAACCTTTAGCACCCCACAATAAAAATCGAACTGGCTCAGAAAAATTGATCACACAAACCTACTCTCGGCCTCCTAGCAATCAAAACAGACAAAGAGGAAGTGAAACCACTCTAGAAGGTCACACGCGTAGCTCCGTTTAGGCTTCGTATTCCCCAACCATAAATAGATGTCGAGTATACTCGACTGTGGGAGGCTACGAGGTGGGCGGCTGAAGTCCAATATACTCGACTGTGGGGTGCTAAAGGCTAAGTACCTGTTTGCTGATGCTATGCTCTCTTCCACTTCTTTCCATAATATGTTCAGTAAGTATATCACCAATATTGTGGCATGGAGGATCATCTGTATCAGATTTGATTGAAAGTACAGTACACGAGACAGGTTGTACACGAGACAGGTTGTACACGAGACAGGTTGTACACGAGACAGGTTGTGGATAGACATGACTACTGGCGCCACACGGCATGGACTTTAAGAAACAGAAGTTAAAAATAACTCAGGTTGATACAAACGGTTGTCCAGACAAGACATTCCTCTTATTTGTTCATCTTTCTTGAATTTATCAAATTTTTTAATTGTGTTCATGTTCCGTAGGCATTTGTTTTCAAATGGATTGAACTTGTTACATGTCTTTAATGTTTCTCCCACTTTCACTGGCATAGGTATATATTAACACTGAAATAACATTTAAATTTAAAAAAAAATTACATAATTTTAAAACTATTTACAATTCAGACGTCCCTATATATTTTGTTCAAGATTTTAGTTTACAAGCTACTGTGCCTTGCTAGTAGTAATGCAATGGGTATCATTATTTCTATCTGTTACTTGAATTCTTTTTGTCTCCTTCATCTGTTGATGTCTTCAATTCATGTATCTTTTCATAACTGATTTATCTGACTATTGATGCTATATTTATTATTAGCTAAATCTATTTTTTTTTTCATGTCATCTCAGTTCTTACTTAGCGGACAAGTGTCATCCATTCTTCTTCTTCTTCGCGTTCACCAGATGTAAACTCTGGCGGAAAGTTCTGGTTGTTCATCGACTTTTGGACTGCAGTTGTATTAGTGTCATCCATAAAGTCAAGAAGCTCAGATTAAATGTTCTCCACCCAGTCATTGACAGTAGTTAAAACACACAGTGTCATAGTTAGAGTCAGGAAAGGTCTGAAGATGATGACACACGCCAACCTTGAACAGCACCTATTTCTCCTGTTCTTTCAGAGACGTACTAAGTGTTATAAATTACAGTCTGGGCCTCCTCACTGTCAGTAGAACCTAACTAGAAAGACTGAATTGGGCACAAAATGAGGCCTTTAGACTCACACTTGGCTGCACAAAAGACACCTTGTGCCATGGCATGCGGAACGTCCTCTGTTTACCGATGATGGCCACCAGACATAAAGTGGTACAGGTGAAAGCGTACATGAAGATATCAGCAGACATCAACCACCCCCTGCACAACGCTATCAATGATATAAAAGGGATGCATCTTGAAAGAGGCTCCTCCTTAATGGCTGAGGCAAAAAGTTCTTATCCAACAAGTTTGTGACTAAAACCAAATCAGTCAAGCATTCAGGCAAGCATCCCATTGCTTTAGGGGGTTGTAAGTGCAGTCTGAAAACAAAAACAGGGTTGTGCGGTTTCTCACAGAACTAAGTGTTCCTCGTGTTTATTATTTATGTCTGCATCTGTGTGAAATCTGAGAGCACACCTTCTGATATTGCAATTTCTAATCAGCAACCTGTTAAACTGTCTCTTGACACAACAAATTCGTTTGCTAGCAGATGTATGCTTCAACAGATTTTGAATCACCTGGTCATGTTCTCAGTGGCTAGAAACAAAACCAATGCATCATGGGATGATAAGCACCTACCATCTTATTCATTGGTCAGTACTTATCACCCCCGTGTGGGTTCCGGGGAATTGTGTGGAGTCTACTAATTGGGGAGCTTCCTTTGAAGTCAGAGTGCATCTGCCAGAGAGGCAAAGAACTAACAGTCTGTATTCAAGAGAATGAGATCTGTAAAACTGATGTACACGCAAAACTCAGGTTCTGGAGCAGGATTGCAGTTCAGTAGTGGACGAGCAACCTGAACTTTCCACCAGAGTGTACAGCTGGTGAACGCGAAGAAGAAGAAGAAGTACTTATCACATGACAATGACATGATCATATTCAACATTCACAATTATTGCGACGTGTGGCACAAATGAAATTCAAAATAACGCTGCTGATATAATTGCTGGCTGTTGTCATTTGAAGGTTTATGTTGATTTTACATACAATTACAGCATGGAGTCAGAAAATGAGCTTGTTGTTTGTCCCTACAACTCATCTCATGTTATAACAGCTACCCGGATGCCTTACCACCTGATCAAATGTCGAAAGGTAATATTGTGTGTTTCTTGAAATAATTTTCCTGGATCATTTTGAGCAGCAGTGTTTTGAATTTTGAATTAAGAATTGACATCCTAGCACTGGGGACACGCCCTTAAGCCCTCTGTTCCCATCTTCTACTGCAAGCTAAGAGCTCCAATTCCGATGGTGACAGTAACTGATTGTACATCCATCTCGCCTTTTCCTTGAGTGTTGAGTGTCAGCCAGATCCCCTGGTAACTCACCGCAGTGCCATTCTCCTTAGACTGTAATGATCTGTGGTGGTAGAAAAATAAGTAAGTTCCAGTAACCCTAAGAGCAGCATCGGTGGCAGTAGTTTTCTTCTTGTTCACCAGCTGTAAACTTCAGCGAAAGTTCTGGGTGTTCGTCCATTTCTGGACTTTAGTCCTGTTCCAGAACCTGAGTGTTGCATGCCCATCCAATTTTACAGATCTGACTCATGTGTATGCAGACTGTTGGTTCCTCGTCTCTCAGGCAGATGCACTCTGACTTCGAAGAACTCCCAATTAGTCGACTCGTACGACATGCTTTTGGGTAGCCAGTGGGACTACTATTCTGGTTTTTTCTACAAGGAGACCTCCGGGAGTCAACATGGAGTAGTAGCTAATGCAGATTTTCCCAAGAACATGCCAGCATTGAGCAGTGGGCTAAATGGGTCTCAAATCCCACTGCCTTGCTGGCACACCTTTTTTTTTTTCTGATCTCTAACTAACTGTAAACTCCAGCAGAAAGTTCTGCTTGTTCATCCATTTCCGGACTTGATTCTTGTTCTATAACTTGAGTTTTGCATGTGCAGCCATTTTACAGATCTGGCTTTATTGTAGGCAGAACAACACTACTGCCCTAGAGCAAGAGGCAGACCGAGAGTACGATGGATAGACAATATATCAGAGATCCTGAGGCAACACGGACTAACAACAACACATGCAACACACCTGGCCTAGGATAGAAAACTGCGACTCCCCACTACGCTGTGAGGCAATTGTGGACAAGACAAGACATCCATAATTAGTCATTGTTTACAGCATGCGTGTTAAGGAGCAGAGGATGTATCTTTTTTCCCCTCTAAAATGGGGTCCTTGAACCCACACGAGGAACCAGCATTTGTGGTGGAAACATCTCTCACTTGATTCCCTTTGCTGCACTTGGCTGTGTCTACAAAACACATTTCTCATGGTCAAAGGGAAGGAACATAATTAATGGTTCGCTCCATTTACATTGAGTGATTATTACCCTTTATGTAAAAAAAAAATAACCTTTTAGGATGAAATTTTTCGTTATTTGAAGCCCTAATCTGGCTCTTGCCAGGGGCAGCAATATAGCCTGGCCATAAATATGGCCTAAAGGCTGAATGCGGTTTCTGGGACCTCTCCACAGTGATCCTCACCCACATAGTGGCACATTGTGTCATCGGGTGTTTATCGCTTGTGTGATGTCCTGGTGGGGTAGAAAGTCAGTCGGTCACTAGTGAATATGAAGAACAAAAATCAGGATTGTTCATTGACTCTCAAACACCCAAGAATTAATCCCATTTAAACTGAAAGCAAGAATATTATTTTAAGTATCTTTCAATGGTCCTAATTTTCTCACAGAGCTATCCTTTCCTGGAGTTGGCAGTTTGCCCTTTCGACGCAAACCATGAAGTCCGTAAACCAGAGCTCAAGCACCACATGCTCAACTGTCCAAGCAAAATCTTGTTGGAAAGAGAGATTTCCTTTGGTGAGATTGTAAAATGTTACTAAGAATCTGTGGGCTTGGGGCTATGAACACAGTTTAATAATTCTGGTATGTCAGCTATTTAAAAAATTAAAAAAAAAAAAAAGAAAAGAAACCGAAAACCAACATTTCTGGTTGGGTCCAGTTCCTCATAAATGTCACTTTTCCAACTTTTTGATGGTAACCTGTTTAGCCGATTCATAATTAATGCTACTAGCTGTTGTCGAGCTAAATTGCTTTTTAAAAACCATATTGATGTCAAGGATTCCCCTGTGAGGCTCATTGATGGAGGTCATGGGGTCACAGCATGAGTCACCCAAAACATGTGGGGATTTTTTTAAAGCCTGAGAGGGGGTTGGGGGATCTTCTTCTTCTTCGTGTTCACCAGCTGTAAACTCGGGCAGAAAGTTCTGGTTGTTCATCCACTTTTGGACTGCAGTCCTGTTGCAGAACCTGAGTTTTGCATGTGCATCCGTTTTACAGATCTGACTCATTTGTATGCAGACTGTTGGTTTCTTGCCTGTCAGGCAGATGTACTCTGACTTCGAAGGAAGCTCCCAATTAGTGCTTCTGGGTAGGCAGTGGGTTTACTCTTTTTTCTCCACATAATAGGACCCTGAAACTCACACAGGGAGGTTTGGGGATGCGTTCCATGTAATGTTTGGGAGCTGCCGTAGTCTCCAGACACTTGCCTGCGGATTGGAAGGTCATCGGTTAAGGTCCTGACAAAGCCACTTGTTTTCAACAATGACCTTGGATCCCAGGTCGACCCCGGCTTGAATGGGTACCAGGTACAAGTCCCGGGAAGTAAAGGTGGGCAGCATATATCACCCAACAAGTGCTGATTGGTCTATTAAACATAGGTCTAGCCCTATATACCCAATATGCATGAAGGCATCGAAAAAGATCCTGTAATATGTATATATCTATATTTTAACTTTTTGCTCATGTTTATTGATTACTTTTTGTTTTAAGTTATCTTTTGAATTGTTTAATGGAATTCTAATGGGCTTATTACCTGTTTTGTTTAGTGTTGTTCCTGGGGGAAAACGGGTCAAGTCAGCTGCCGGTGATTTGGTAGCAGTGTGCTTGACATTGCTTTCTTTAGAGAGGAATTAAAACTGAGATTTGATCATATTGTATAGTCACACTGGAATATATTGTGACTGCTGAAAAGATCTGTAGAACAAAGAAATAGAGAAAAACAATGAGACAAGATTTGTGACAGCTTTTTATCATGGCATGACACCCTTGCAGTCTGCCAGCATAAACAGTGATGCATGCTGTTATGTTATAACAGTCAGTGTTATTGCATATTGGGCATTCCCTTCTGCCTCTTCTTCTTTCGTTCGCCTGAAATAAGTTGTCTAATCAGTATCAGCAGTTTTGTCTCTTGTATAACTTTCACTGACAGTTCATTCAGTGGTCCATAGAGTTTACGTTCCACTGTTGTTCTTTCTGGCCAAAATGTTTGCCTTAATGTGTCAAATTCGGTGCAGTCCTGGAGTACATGCTCTGCTGTCTGGGGCACCTTTCCACAGGGGCACATGGCTGTTACACCTATCTTGAATTTTGTGTACATGTGGTTACGTAATCGGTTGTGCCCTGTTCTGAGGCGGAGGATAATGACTTGTTCTGGTCTGTCCTTGATAATTCCCTTCTGAACATGCAAGTTGTTGAGAGGCATGCTTATCCATGTCAGTCACTGAGGTACATGATGATGCAGAAACCCCGGATTAAAATTGCTAAAATGTTGTTAGGTACATGAGTAAGCCTTATGCCTTGGCAGGGAGGGGTGTTGGCACCTGAACTGATAAGAACTGGTGATTGGGGATCACAGGTTGTGAAGAAGCATGATCATCTACGCCACTCAGCAAAGGCAAAGATATCACAACTTATCTGCAAATCACAACACATTGTACCTGCCGCCCTTTGAAGGGTGAACGCAGAAGAAGAAACAGACAGATACTGAGAGGATTTTCAACATTTTCAGAAGCAGTACGTAAGGCCATTAACAGCAGTGACCCGCCTGTGAAGAAAGGCTTCACTGATCTGCCTAGGTACCGAGATCATCATACTCATGATGATGATGACGACAGCTGGGACGAAGAAAGACGGACCGCTCGTAGTAAGTTGTTGTTTATTATATTCGAAGGTTAGCTTATACCATAAAGCAGTAGAGTGCAGAGGTAGTGAAAGAGTGGGTACAACATTCGCCTCAAAAAAAAGCGGGGAGGGGGGGGGGAGTGGATGAAGAAATTGACATCAAATGCGGTAAAGCAAACCAAATACTGGGACAGCCAGCTCCATTCTTTGTATAAGAAGGTACAGCCCAAAGAAACATCACAAACAAAGCATATTGATTCCCCTCTATGCTGCCACTATATTGTCAAGACACACTTAGATTATCTCAGTCTGAATACAATTTTGCAATGAGGAATGACTGGGGAATCTGTTCGACACTCCACACTAAGGGGAAAGGCAAGACGGACTTATAGTCGGATTGTTACTGGTACTATTGTAGTCGGTACTCTTTGTTTGCTGCTGAAAATGGGGATGGAGCGCTTATGGGAATGTCCTGAGTGCTGTGATGTTGGTTCTTGAAACTCAACTTATAAAATAAACAGCCAAGGATCTTTTTGTTTTTATGAGCAGTTTGTATGTCTTCCATAAAAAAAATCTAATTACTAGTATAACACATACATTTGTTTAATCAAAAAGATTTGTGGGGGGGGGGGGGGGGGGAGACCTCAGCCATATATTAAAGGGTGCACCATCTGAAAAGGTTTTAAACTACTACTTTGAACAGTAAAGCAGACCAGGTATTGAGGTATTGGAACAGCTAGGCCTCCCACCCCTTCCTCCTTTTTTCCTTTATAGCTCTAGTCAGCGGAAATATATATATTGTGCAATGCAAATCCCTTCCTACTCTATGCTACCAGTGCCAGACATGATCACTAACAACCAACTTAGATGAGAACATTTGTAACAATGAAAACAAGGTGTCTGAGAAAGGCTGCAGAAGTGACTAAATGAGGTAAAATCAGGATTGAAGCCGAAAAAGATAAATTCTGCATAGAACCAACACTAAAATACACTCAGAGACGGCACATAAAAGGTCTGCACACTTAGAGAAAATGCCGGGGGATGCCCTATCAAAGAAGGCATAAAATAGGAAAAAGACTTAGAGCATGATGTAGACTGATGATGGAAAGAAAACGTCAGAGACATTCTACAATGGAGTGATATTTCCATACTGAAGGCAGCCAGAAGAGCGAGAAGCAGAACCGTTTATCTCCCTTGATGCCTTCAGCTGTGAAAAAGAACACGCCTTTAAAACCTCTTTTATGCTTGTATTCATATACTGGCTTCTGAAGTTTCTTTGTTTAAATATCAACAGATGATGCCCCAAGATTCTTTGCATGGACTTCAAGAACTGCATGTCATAGCCAGTAAGGAGGTGACTTTGTCTTGGGAAAGAATTTTGCTTACTCCAGGGAATGGAATGAATGAATTTTTGTTGCTACTGAAAGTTTAGAGTATTTTTGCTGTAGCTGCTACAGCACTAAAGAAAATAGAATTTATAGGAAAGAATTTAGTATTTTGAGAATATAGAATATTTTCTACTGTAGGAAAATTAGCATACATGAGCCTAACATGTGACATATCGTTGTTAGTTATGGAAAACAGCAGTACTTACAGGGACCCGGTTTGGGAGGAGGGAGAATAGACCCACTGCCTCCCTATGGGACATGTTGTAGAAGGTGGTAAATTGGGGATATTTCCAATAAAGTCAGCTCACATCTGCCTGAGAGACGAGGGACCAACAGTCAGCATACAAATAAGCAGATCTGTAAAACAGATCAGCACACACAATTCAAGTTCTGGCACAAGACTATGAAGTCCAGGAGTGGATGAACCACCAGAACTTTCCACCAGAGTTTACAGCTGATGAAAGCTAAGAAGAAAAAAAAAGATAAAGAAGAGAATTGCACCTTGTGGTGACATTTGAACAGTTCTCTATATCTATATCCTCTTCATATCACTGTTGGCACATAAGGACATGTTGATACGATCGATACATTCTCTGTTTGTTTATTACATTTTATATATTTATACGGCCTCAAGGCTTCCCCCTCTGTTTATTTATATGTTGGCACATAAGGCATTTACATTCATATGAACTCCATTGCTGCTGACCTGTTGCTTTTCCTGCCTATGGTATCTCGTGTCAATTTACATTCCTTTATTTCCCTTTTTAGTGTCCATCACCAAGTTTCCTTAGGTCTTCCACGTCTACTTTTTCCATCTGCCGTCCATCAGAGAGTTGTACTTGCCGGGGTGAGCTATCACGAGGAATTCTGCATGTTCTAGCTATCACGATCTTCTTCTTTAAAGTTCCAGTTTTAGTGTCCATATAAATCCATCCAAAGACGAGGCTTAGATATCTGTTTAGTGACTAAATGAAATTTTTATTAAAGTGGATGTATCAATCCCCCCAGCCATATCATCTCTTCTCTACCCTTTGACCTGTTAGGCTTAGGATGCCCTGCTGGTAGCTAGGCTACCGCCGACATAGCTCCTAGGGTTATTGAGAAACACAAGCTTCCCCACCACGACAAGATGGAGACACCTTCGAGGAGTACAGACTACACAAAGGAAACTTTAACTTGTGACTGCAATATTTGAACAGTTAATCAGCAGACAGTTTCTTTGAAGCTACAGAAATATGATGTTACAAAAAATGAACTATCCTCTGACTAACAGCCGGCAAAGATGGCGGCCGCAAAATATCCTTTCGAGCCACAGTCGCGTGTCAATTGCGCACTAGCGGTCACGAGCACACCGTGGCTGCTGCTCGTGGGTCCTAGCCATCTAGTTTAGCCCCATTCCACTACACGTGGCGGTGGCGATAGTCGCCGGAGAACCGCAAATTAAGTCACACGGCTGGCGTGAAAGGATATTTTGTGGCCGCCATCTTTGCCGACCGTTAGTTGGAGGATAGCCAGAAAATGATTTAAAAATCTGGACAGGCAAAGTAAGTATTGAAAGATCACGACAAAGGAACTTTAGATAAGAAGAAAACTAAACATTGTTCATGTCAAGACAAGAGAAAAATGTGTGACAACTGGGAAAGTTAACTGAAAATTAGAGAAGTTGCTAGGCAGTTTGTGGTGATCTGTTTTGTTGTTTGTGTTCTAATGTTGCCATTTTCTCTGTCACATATTAACCTAGAGATAGTGAGAACTCCAGCCTGCGGCGCCCATTCAGCCAAGGGATGGCTGCCATCGCAAGATCACCTGGTATTGTACAATCAGTCGAATCAAATCTACACAGAACAGTTGATTTTAATGCTCTGCTGGCAGGACGTGGTAGAGCTAGACTTTGTAAGTTTAAGCATTATGAATTTTGGACAAAAGATATTCAGTGGTTGGAGGAGGTTGATTCGCTGATGATTTAGCTTTGTCAGATGTGTTGTGTAAGAGACTGAAACAAGAATCTTACAAATCTATAATGTTCTCTTTTAAATTACCCTAGTTTTGAAACACTCTGCTATCCCATTAGAGACTGAAAGATAAATTATACATGCAGTCTTCCTATCTTTTCTTCTTTTCTTCCTTGCGTAAACTCCAGAGGAAAGTTTTGGCTGTTCGTCCACTTCTGGACTGCAGTCCTGTTCCAGAACCTGGGTGTTGCGTGTGCATCCGTTTGACATATCTGATTAATTTGTATGCAGACTGTTGATTCCTTGCCTCTCAGGCAGATGCACTCCGACTTTAAATGAAACTCCCAATTAGTTGGCTCTTACAACATGCTTTTGGATAGGCAGTGGGTCTATTCTTGTTTTCCCTATAAAAGAGCCCCGGAACCCCACACAGGGACTACCTGCCCTGTTGTTCGTCCATTACGATGGATGAAGACCACTTTTCATCCAAAGTTGTAATAATCAGTGATTATGAGTACAATGTGCCTAAGTGTAGGATTAGCAGTACGATTCTTTCTAGCCTGCCTCTGTTTCTCTACCAGTTCAACCTCCACTGCCTGGCAGGCTGATGCACCATGACCTGAGGGATGCACGCCATCCAGAACGATCTTGTGCAGCAGCCTCCCAGGTCATTGAGTTGATGCCAGAAGAATTAAGAGTCAAGAGCTGGATGATAAGTGACTTGCACAAGGACTTGGTTTTACGTGAAGAAAGGTAGTCTTGCTACATCCTTGTACTGGACTCTGTGACTCACATGGAACACCAACAGTGTAAAGCACAAACAAGCTTCCTCAGAAAGAACCGAGAAAATCAGCAAACACCAACAGTCACAAAAATAACTTAAGTTTTCACACAAGCCGGTTGAACACAATGGAAGTCCAGAAATAATTGCCATGTGTCAGACTTGGACATTGACTTAAGAGCATAACAGAAAATTGACCTCAGGTTGCATGAAAGAAAATTGACCTCAGGTTTGGACATTGACTTAAGAGCATGAAAGAAAATTGACCGCCTGTGAAATGAGATGTTTAAGGGAGGCCATGAACAAAACTAGAAGAGATTATGTCAGAAACGAAGAAATTATAAGAACTATTGGAACAAAACCTATAATAAATTTCATTGATAAACTGACAGAAATGGTTTGGCTTTTAATGAGAACGAATCCAGTTCTGCCAGAAATGAGAGCGTACAACATGAAAGTAGAAATACCAGGAAGTAGGGAATGACCAAGAAGGCAACACTGATACCTTGAGACTCCACAACATCAGAACATACCAGGCAACTGAGTGTGCGCTACCTCGGATACCGGTCATCTGTTAAGCTGTGACACTGAGTGGCTCAAAGCAGAATATGGACATACACACAAAAAAGATGTGTTATGGTCACATTTGAATTGCTGCTACTGATAAAAATTAAATCTCAATATTGGTCCTGTCCAGTGCCAGCATCTTTTCCTCACCTTTTGATTCACTGGAATTTGTCTAGTTCTCTCTTAAAGCTCTACTTTTGTGATTCTATCATACGATTGAATTCCCTCCGTTCTGCACAGGCAGCAGTTAATGAATGTTTATTAGGGGGCCTTTTTGGCACAGTCGATAGGAGACTCACTTTCGAATCCAGCTGCAGCCCAGAACGGTTCCTGGGGTTCACACAGCCACTAGGTAATGGGTACCAGAGTTAACACTCTGGGGTAAATGGAGGAACGTCGCTGTAGCTACGGAGTTTCGCGTGGACGGCGACACAGGCGGACAGTTTCTTATCATAAGTCTGTAGTAGTGGCAGAGCACTTATGGTTTATAACCGTGTGCAATGATGCTGGTTCACATCTCCCAACTTTACCTTTTTTAAAACCTTTTTATTGTTTAGATTTGTAGGTGTTTTAAAGAAGCTTGACCATTGTCACAGTGTTTTGATTATCTTGTCTCTCTGCGACAGCGTTGTCTCCTGAAAGAGCAGTGTCCATCAGTCCCGGAGCCAGTGGGCAGTCACAGTTTCTGCAGACAAACATGTTGCCTCTGACAGTGACTAGACCAGGAGTCTCAGATATTGTCTGGACAGTTGGGAGAGGTCGGTAAGTGCTGCAGTAGAGACCTGTATCTGGTCCGTACATTTGGTCATTCTTTGACATTGTATGGCTTGTAAAGAATCACTTTGTTGCACTGTTCTCTTTCTTCCCGTTTACCGGCTGTAAACTCTTGCAGAAAGTTCTGGTTGTTCTTTCACTTCTGGGCTTTAGTCTTGTTTCAGTTATATAGATTTGGCTTATTTGTATGCAGACTGTTGGTTTCTTGCCTCTCAGGCAGGTACACTACGACTTTGAAGGAAATACCCCTAGTTAGTCGACTTTTAGGACATACGACAAGCTAGTTAGGAAAGTAGTGGGTCCACCCCCTCCCCATCCCCCATGGGACTCCAGAACACAATGAGACTCCATAAACCACATAAGGAAATTGCAGGCAAATATCTCTAAATAATGAGGGGGGGGGGGGGGGGTGGTGTTCTTCTGTGATGAAGTGGTCAAACTGTTTGCCTCACATTCTGGGTGTGATTCACGGACTAAGTCTCTCAGTTCACATGTGCCATTTTCTTTACAGTCCCGGGGATCAGCACTATAGCTACAGTCTTGAGTACAAGCAACGGAGAGATAAAGAAGTCATAGAAGCATGGGATTAAACCTGAAAAGAGATAAAAGCATGGGATTAAACCTGAAGAGATAGAAGCATGAGATTAAACCTGAAAAGAGATAAAATCATGGGATTAAACCTGAAAAAGAGATAAAAGCATGGGATTAAACCTGAAGAGATAAAAGCATGGGATTAAACCTGAAGAGATAAAATCATGGGATTAAACCTGAAAAAGAGATAAAAGCATGGGATTAAACCTGAAAAAGAGATAAAAGCATGGGATTAATCCTGAAGAGATAAAAGCATGGGATTAAACCTGAAAAGAGATAAAATCATGGGATTAAACCTGAAAAGAGATAAAATCATGGAATTAAACCTGAAAAGAGATAAAATCATGGGATTAAACCTGAAAAGAGATAAAATCATGGGATTAAACCTGAAAAAAAAGATAAAAGCATGGGATTAAACCTGAAAAGAGATAAACGCATAGGATTTTGCCTGCTACTGTGTGTTTGTAAATATGTTTATCTTGTTCTTGTCTTTTCAGAGCCTTGAGCTTCAAGTACCAGTGAAATGTTCATTTGCTCTACATTGCCATGACTGCTTCAACACATTATGTGCCTTCTCCGCAGAGAAGGTTGACCACAGTGTGCCACTATTGTCTTTGAAAAATATTTTGTTGTGAGGTCCCAGTTTCTAGTTCAAAGTCAGATATGAAGCCCATTCACCGTGTTTTCCCAAATTTTCTAAGTTTAAATTCGGGGGTTGACTTAAACTTGGGTGGCATCTTATACACAGAAAAATGCGGTATATCCTGTATTGAGAACATGGTCACAACTGTTTGGTCCACATTTTCCAAGACTTGACAACATATGTGAAGTGATACTATTAACATATATTTTTAAGAGGACAAAACACAGAGCACATTGTTTTTTAATAACTGGTAGCCTAATGGGAAATCAATGAAAGTTCACATCCAGGTGATATCATTGTATACACAGATGGGTCTATAACGAGAGGTTAGAGTGGGGGGGGGGGTTTTATTGCAAAGGTGAATAGACAGTGTTTGAAAACAGAAAGCCTTGTGTATAACATACAACAACCTTCTTTTTTTTTCTTCTTCTTTCGTTCGCATGAAATAAATTATCTATATCTGCAATGCTGTCTCTGGTATGAATTTCATTGTCTTTTGTAATTCACTTAGCGGCCCGTAAAGTTTGACTTCCACAAGTGTCTCTTTTGGCCAGAAGTTTTGCCTGGAAGCGTTGAATCTGAGACAGTCTTGGAGGATGTGATCTGTTGTCTCAGGTGCCAGTGCACAGGTACATATGGCCGATTGGCCAATCTTAAATTTGTTGTACATGTGGCAGCAAAGTCGATTATGCGCTGTTCTAAGGATCACAACAACCAGTTTGAGAAAGAAGGTGGAAGCAGTAATGGCAGCTTTCTGACGGCTTGAGAGGGGCACAGCTCAACATGTTGTAATGGATTCACAGAGTATGCTTCGGAAAATATTGAATCCAGCGTCTTAGGCTTGCATCACTTGATAAAACTCAGATCAGCGACATGTCATGGAGTTTCTGTCCAGGGCATTCATGGTGCGGGGTAATGAGCAGGCTGATAGGTTGGCTGCTGCTTCTCTTCTGGGTGGTGATTACTTTATGATAAAGTGGACATAGTGAAGGCTCTCTGTGATCAGATGGACAGTTTAGTAGAACAGACAGAGACTCCAGATATTGAAAGACTAATTCAGTGGTTGGGGTGAATAGAGAGTCTGGAAGGTATTCAACATTTATGGGGAAACATTGGCAGACTTTTATTGAGATTGCAGCTGGTGCTAGTAGCGTTTTGACTCTTCGTTGGCTACTGAGGAAAGAGACTGAGCATGTGTGGTAATGTCCCGATTGCCGTAATGTCAATTCTTCATTCCTAATGGAAAAGGAGGAAAGCAGTAAGAGACGATTCTTAACAGCTTTGCACCATGATTCATGGACATGAATGGCTACACTGAAGCGAAGAACTACTGTTGTGATGTAGCATAATTAAGGGAGCCATATCATCTTGTTTTCTCCGGGACAATATTTTTTTTTAGGTTGGCCCAGACTATCTCGTCGATACTTTAAAAAATATATTTGTTGTTTTTAGTATCAGCGCGATGGTTGGGGCCTACTTAGAAACTATACTCTCTGGGCTAAAGCGGCCTCATATGGTCACCCCAAGCATAATTGTCCATGCCAGGTAATAAGTTGCTCCGTGACGCAAGCTGCTTTTTGATTCCCAGAACTCTTGTTTCAATTGTGTGACAGAAGGGTCATCTATTTTTGGAATTTCTCTTACATGTTACTTTAGTACAGGTCCAGTCGGCTCAGTGTGAAGTCACCTGGAAGTTCTGCTTCATGTAGTGACAATATATTTTGTTCTTTCAGGGTTTTTGTTGTTGATGTTTCTGTTCACCTGAAATGTTTAATGAAGTATTTTCTTCTCTTTATCTAAGTTGTTTTTATGGAGAATAATCTTTCTGTGTTTGGGTTGTTTTATGGAAAAATTGTATTTCGGTGTGATTTGGTGGTTTTATCAAAACATTGTTTTCTGCTTAATGTTGTTTTATAGAAAGATTGTATTTCTCTGTGGTTTTATGGAAATAATGTATTTCTATATTTGATTTGTTTGATGGAAAGATTGTGTTGTTTTTATGGGAAGATAATTTTCTGCACAGTTGACTGGTTTATGGAACGAATGTATTTCTGTGTGTCTAATTTGTGTGTGTGTGTGTGGAAGAGTATTTTCTTTTGTGGATGTTTGGTTTTATTGAGTCTGTTTTCTTTTATGCTCTCTTGTTTTAATTTTTATTGTAATTAAGCAATACATATTATACTTCTGACAGCCTGCAGCTTTCATTATTATTTGTATGATTTATTTTTGCTGACCATTGGATTCATGTTTAAATCAGCATTGATCACTGGCATCTTGAGAGCTAAGAGACTGAAATAGCTGGGTCATATTGATATAATGTCAAATGACAGAGAAGTAAAAACTGTATATGCAAGGGAGCTGAATGGTATTGGACTAGGAGGCAGACCAAGAAGACAGTGGAGAGATATTATCCTGACAAACCTGCAAACACTTGGGCCACCAGCTAGAGGGAAGAAGGCCAACCAGAGAGATAAGTGGAGGCGGGTGATGTCTGCAGCAATGAACATCAAAGGCTCGGAATGCTGAAGAAGAAGCAGATAGGATTACTTACTGAAAAATGTATTACCCAGTGACTCAAAAAGGCACTACCCGGAGGACAGTTCAAGAGGGGTAAATCCCTGAAATCACTTTCACTCGTATAACAGTCTTATTATGGCATCCGACAATTATATTAGGGCACCTACAAGTTAACATGTGTATGTTCGTTGTATATGGTTTTTTTTTAGAAGAATGACAGAAATGCCTTTGAAACCCAAATTTAATCTTAAAAAGACGGACACACAAAGACAACTTATCACAAATATCATAAAAAGTAGTCTTTATTTTGGGGCAAAAATAAGAGAAGAGTTGGGTCAAGAACTGATATCACAGCATTACCACACGTGCTCTACCCTCATCTTCAGCAGCCAGGGAAAAGTTCTGATTCCAATTGTGCTAGCAGCAGTCTTGTTATATGTCCGTCGTGCTTTTTCTTTGAGTGTTGACCAGATTTCTTAGTTGCACCATTCTCTCCTCTGCATAATGGTGCACATGTACGCATTGTTCACCTGCTGCCGAAGGGCCTTGGCCACATCTGACTTGTTATGCATCATTTCACCATTTAATGGTGCAGCACTAGCCAGTTTTTCTGCTTATTTACTTCCAAACACAGCTGTACATACTGGAGAAATTTTTAGACGAGAATAACTTGAACCCATAACTTACTTATTTACTTACTTACTTAGTTGCACCTCTTCTATCTTGGAGTTTAGAGGTTTGCCTGAGAGATCGCCATATGTCATTATCAGCAGTTTTCTTTCTGGGTTGGTTCCATTCCAGTCCTCTGCCAGTTAGGGACTGTCGGATGTTGTTTTCCAAGTGGAACCTGGGTCGCCCTGAACATCCAACACCTGGACATATTTATGAAGAGAGATTAGGACAATAAGAGGAGATTCTCAACAACTTTTCGTCATAGCATGAAAAACTGTGATCCTGAGGAGATGTGAGCAGCGGATCATGAAACAGTCACTTCAATGGGAAACAAATCCACTGAGAAGCTGAGGACACACACACAAAAATCCAAAGTTGATGGACTGGATTTCATTAATGATAATGAAACAATTGTTCGGGTTAGAATGGGATGAAAGAATAGGCTGAGAGCTCTATGTAGCATATAACGACACAAGGGGACGACAAGGGAAAGGTGCCAGTATACAAAATGAGAAATGCTGCTGGGGATATGCCCAGACTCACCCAGGATTGCCAGATACACCTACCAAGTGTAGCTGTTACAGGAGCTGTATAGGATACAGTAGCCGGTACCACCTGTCTTCTGTTGTGTCGAATGTTGAGCAGTGTATTCTAACCTAACATTCCAAATTGTACCTACGGCTTCAGGCGGGGGAGCACATTTGGGAGAATACTAGCCTTATCCTAGGAAGAGGAAATGCAACCTGAAAATTTTATGTTATGGCAGGGCAGACCAGGCCCTTCGCCTTGGCTGGCAGCTGGTCTAGAAGGACAGATAGAGCAATGCTCTTCTGATCCGTTAGCTTCTGCAGACTGCCTTGTTCCAAACTTACTAGTTTTACCTTTCCTTTGGAGAAAACAAGGCAAGTTGAGGAAGGAATAATTATGCATAGGTGACATATGGTCTCTACAACACAGCACTGCCCAGGTTTTGTGCCATGTGAGTCCCAAGCCTCCTCATAGCGCAGTATAACACTATTGTCTGGAAAGGTGCCAATCAAAATAAGATACACACTGTTTTTTTTTTTTAAACATCAAAGTAAAGCACCTGTTTCCATATTTCAAGGCCAGCTGGCTGTTTGGTGTTAGGCCTCCACATTTGTATGCAAAATTACAACAGAAATGAGATTCATGAGAAGAGCACTTCGTTTACAAAGAAGGGACAAATCAGATGGATACCACCAGTTCCAGTACTGGGGAGCTGACAGTGGACTGCATTATGAAAAACTGCGATGACCATTTAATACTACTGTTAACATGCTTTTTTACTTGTGCTCCGTGTTGATGTCCTAGCGCATCGGTCCGACCCGTTCGTGTTCCGTCCTTTTGGTGCATCAGACATCTCATTGTCTCCATGCTCAGCGTACCCAGTACGAGTTGACTGGCTTATCTTCTTTCATTTCCCTGCAACCTGTTTCTGCTTCTCTTCGTTTAAACCCATATCCAACAGGTGGTTCGTTGTTTCTGACTTCTTTTCACTATGACTGCTCTGTCCATTCTCCTTCCATCACCCTCCAATACAAATATCTGTCAGCTCTTTCATTTCCTTCCACTCCGGTATCTAGGTATCTACAACCAAGACCGTCTCCAGCTGTACTGTACAGCTGACAGGTAGTGCCCCAAGGCTTGCCTAGAGTAGGCCACGGCCAAC